AGGGAAAAAAAAAAAAAAAAAAAAAAAAAAAAAATGGATACGAGTTCGGTAGACTCCCACACGGCAGCATGTTCAGCTATTATAGGTCGTAATCTTAAGGCATATGCACTCTGAAACAAATACAACATGGTCTAAAAAAGATAATCGAAGCTGAGTAAATCTCCCGTCATCCCGTCGAATTCGCCAAAGTCGCGCCCAAACAGGTAGTCCTCACCCTCCGTGGGTCGTTGCAGATTGAAGGGTCGCGCTTCCAAGTAGTACGTCTGATCCGAGAGCCCTGGCTCCGGTCCATAAGTGGGAGGACCCCCGGACAGGGCCTCCATCACTCGTTCCGCTGAATGTGGGGTGGCGTTCTCGGGCGCCGGCGTTGCCATGGGTGCACCCGGCAAACTGGCTGGGAGCGGGGGCACTGCATACCCTGACGCTACCGGGGTAGAGTCCAAATGTGTCATTTGGGGTTGGGAAACAGCAACAAGTGGGAAGCTCTCGGTCGCATTGACCTGGGGAGTATGCGTCTCAATGCCGCGCGGGTAGAGATTCGGATCGGACGCTACCGTCTCATCCACGGCAGGGCCGATGTACTTCTGGTCCCTCTGGGGGGTAGCGTCAAAGGCGTGCTCCGTCAGGCCGGCTGTATACGGCGCACTGGGCCTTTCCGAGCCCACCTCGACGGTATCATTCGGACTTTGAGATTGCGACCCATGATCCGATTTGGTAAATGTAGCTGTCAGTACCTGCAAAACGTCGGTTAGTTAGGGTTCACCATGGAGCCAAGGATGGTCGTACCGTCAATGCCACGTGAAGGCGACGGGAATGGGAGCTGTAAGGGGTGAGGCACATCAGCATACGCTTTGCCGTGTTTAAGTCGACCTTCAGCGCCTTGACGGTGTCGGGGCTCTTGGAGCCAACCACCACGTATACTAATGACAGCCCAGCCGTGCAAACCATGTACGCAATCCGCCAGTGTGCCCCGTAGAGAAGCCCATCTCGATGCATGTCCTCCGTCAGACGGATGAGATTACGGCTGGCATCAACACACGCCGAGGCATATTTATGGAATCCGTGCTCGGCATGGCCATTGCTCTCGGTGTTATCGACAAAGTAATGCAGGAATGGCCGATATAGGAGAATCTGGACGTGAGAATATGTCATCCACAGCTCGTACTTGGCCCTGTAGCAGGTCAGCCTGTTTCCCAACGGGTTGGCACCGGCATGCGGTGGCTTACTTTTCCAGGTGTGGAGCATATCGACTTCTTCCCAGTCGATAGCCAAGCGGTAGTGACGCAGCCCACTTCTGCAGCTCACCCTCAAGCTGCGTGACAATTTCATTGCTTACCAGGTGGCTCATCGACCCACTGTTGGTTTTTCTCCGCACCCCACCCGACGGATACAGCTCATGCACAATCCGATCCAGAATATTATGTAGCTTTAAAAGGGCCACGGACCCGGACATACTCCGGATCATGGCAGGGTCTTGCAAGGACTGGGATATCCTATTCGACTTGAGGTCGTTATCATCCAAATCCAGGGGCTGTTCAATGTCGATCTCGGTGGCCCGGATTGGCTGCGGATAGCCGCACATTGATGCGACGACCATCAACAGTTGTCGCAACGACCAGAAGAGCCGCCGTTTGATCTCCGCGACTATGAGGTTGTCTCTCGAATTTGGCAACTGGAGGTTCATGCGAACGGCCAAAGAAAAGGCATGGGAGAGACACGTGTAGCATGGCGAGAGCCTTTCAGTACTCAGAATGAACAGGTTCATGTAGAAGATCGCTTGTAGGGTTACAATGTCACTGCAGTCATGAAGATCAACCAGGTCACGGCACGTCGCAAAGTACTTTGTCCTACTCCAGTTAGCATTATTCCCTGCCAGAACAGGTCCAGGGAAGGCACCTCTCCGCGGTTATATCATCCCCACTCTCCGACGAACCATCTACTACCTTCTCGAATAAACATCCCAAGGCCATGAGGGCGTAGACCAGCGGAATGTGCCGCAGTTCGCCCTCCCCGTAGTCACTCCGATCCAAGCTGTAGAGCAATTCGAAGGCCGAGTCAAACGTTGGTCGATGCACCACATGATACAGCACACTGGCATCCAACGCGATGTTAGTCAAGTGCTCTGCCCGTTCGCGCGGTGGCAGGGCGACGACCCGGGGCGCCGGATTGGCCGACTGGAAGAGCTTGACGCCGGGTTGTTTCTCCCTGATGCGAAGTCGGCTGTCGAAGTCGGCACCTGGCCAGTCTCCCAGCTCCGCCTTGAGGCGCTCTATAAAAGCTCGGTCGGCCGAGGAGACACCAAACCGGGCTTCGCCTTGGCTTGGCCGCGCCTGAGCCCGGGACTCTGTCGGATCGGTATCGGCATCGATGGCGCCGGTTGTTGACGACGGATGCGGTTGAGTCGAGGACTTGTCGGACGGGGGCGAGTCTTTGGCGGCCGAGATGGTATGATAGGACTCCTCCATGGCCTTGACCCTTTTCTCCAACTCCTGCAGGCGGTCGAAATGCGGGGAAGCTTTTCGTTTGCGACGTGGTTCGGGATAAACGCAGTCTGTGCCCGTTAGCCCAGCCCGATCTTCCGTCTGTGCTCTGCTCTTTATGCGGGGAAGATCGCACCATTGAAGGAGGTGCGACAATGGTTGCAGGTGGTGGCACCATCGCACTTGATTTTCATCTGGCGACATCGCTCACATGCCCGGCGGGTACGGTCCTTGGGTCTCCCGGCGGCATCGGACTGGGTAGGGTTCCCATTGGGGGGTGGGGGCATCTGGAAGTGGCGGAACATGGCGAGAACGAGGAGCACTCGACTGCTTTGCAGTCATTAGGGAGATAGGGAAGGATAGCATGCGACCATGAGCCGGTGGGATGGGAGGAAATGAGAGATGGGAGAGAAGTGTCAGATTCCGCCCGATCGCGAGTTTTCGCCAATCCAATGACGCACCAGTAAGCCGGGGATCACGTGGCGGGCGGGCGGCGTGCTGAGGAAGCTGTGAAGGAGCCGCGGCCGTTGTTGTTGTTGGTTGGTTTCGTATTGAGCGCATTTCTTCTCGAACTAGCCACCGTTCGTAAGTAAGCTAGGCAGGGTGTGGTGGCGGTCGGGCTGGTCTTATTGCTGAGCCTGAGCCTACACAGTCTAGATTACGGAGTCCCAAGGGGCAGCCGCCCACCCGGACAGCAGCACACTCGGGAGGCCCCGGTGTTACCCACCGCCCCCGTTACAGCCGATCTCTCCACTCCGGTGGCCTGGATGCTGTCCCGTGTAGTCTCCTACAGCCCGTCTATCACAACCACGCCTACGGTGCAGCCCGTGATAGACTCAAACCCAGATATCACAAAAGGGTGGTCTACGATCTCCACCGTACTATTCCCTCTCATGCTTATTTCTATACAGTCCTCTCTCTTCCAGTCAGTACATATATTTATAGCAATGATTTATTTTGTCATGGTCCCAGCCGGTTCTCCGATCGGTATTCAGACCAGGATTATTAGGCCGTGGGATTCTGGCCAAGAAATTTCCTCCCCTGTAATACACCTACGACTGTCGCTTCCGTTGTTCCCGTCCAATCTCGCGTCTTGATCCTACGTAGCTTAACTACGGCCCTATAGGACCTCGGGGAACGGGTTCCGGCTGGGTGGGGTGTTCATATCACAATCATATTTAGTAAGGTCATCATCCATTAGTCTACTTGCTTAAGCTACTAAATCCCTCAATCCCCCATCTGTTTCCCTTCATGCCTTCAGGTGCTCATCAAACCACTGCAGAGCCTGGATGAACGCATTCTCCTTGGCGAACAGCACCTTGGGGTCGCTGAGGTCTCCCCGAAGGGCAAATCTAGATCCGCGTCAGCAGCGCTCATCACTCTGTCCAAAGCAAGCATCACTTACCCGTGTCCGACACCGCCATAGAGGGTGACGGCGTAAGGCAGCGCCAGCGCCTCCAAGACCTGCTCCGACTCGTGGCGCTTCTCTGCCGGAAAGACGTGGTCCTTCTCGGCCGCCGCAATCGCCAGAGGGCCCTTGATGGCCTCCAACTCCTCCTTCTCCACCAGACTGGGGTGCGCCAGGAAGCCCACGTCCACCTTGCCCTGGTCGGGCTTCAGGAACCGCACAACGTACTTGGCGCCGAAGCAGTACCCGATGGCTCCGATTTTCTTCCCGCAATCAGTCTCCGTGATGCAATCCGTTCCGAAGGGACAGACAACTTACCTTGATGTTGTACTTGGTGCGCAGTTCAGCAATGGTCTTTTCCAAGATGGGGTCGATGACCGGGGGAGTGTGCGCAATCTTCTTCTCGTGGTATTCGCCCTGGAGCCACTTGGGGAGCTCCAGACCGGCAGCTCCACCAATGGGGATGGGGTCGCCATAGAAGAGATCGGGGATCAGGACGAGGTAGCCATTGGCGGCGAACTGGTCCGCGATCAACTGGGCATTGTTGAAGCGGTGGCCAAGAATATCGGTCAACCTGCGGGGTCTCGGTCAGCCAAAGCTTAATTTCGCTTTCCCTGCGTGCGGCGGAACGGACAGGATGATAGCCTTCTCGGTGGGCCCCTCGGGAGCCTTCTTATAGACTTCAAAGTCACCAATGGTGATGAATTCGCCAGACGCGTCGCCTTCGTGCTTGACGCCCTGGAAGCAGCACTTTCTGGGAGGGTATGAGGCCATGTTTGGGAATTGAATAAGATTGGAAGGGATGCGGAAGGGAGGCGGGGTTGATGGTGACGGTTCGCTGTGAGGGTCTCCGTGGTCTGGATGCTCGCTCTGTGACCGCGGACTCGTCCCGGTATCTTATATCCCTTTATGCTCCCGCATCTCCTCCACTGCCTTACGTGAATGAATTCCGTGTGATCGGAACATGATAATCGTATCTCCCTTATTTCCGACCACCCGCCGTGTACCTGAAGGCGGCGATGGCGACGAGTCCTGCTGTTCTCGCATGCTCGGGGGTCATCCGGAGCGGATGTCCATCCATCAGCCTCCGAGTTGGAGGCCGATTGGAGACGGCCCGACCGGGATGCAGGCTAGTGTTCGTCTCGCGCTAACCTCAATCTCGGCTCCCGGCTCAGGTTAGCCGAACGGGAGGTAACTGCTTACTCTTGACACCGTTGAACGGACTTTTCTGCAAGTCCAGTGCTCAGGTCCCATTATCCCGTAACTCTGCCGCAAGCCAGTCCTCAAGCCGTTTGCCAAGTGCCAAGGGCGGCCGATGGTGACACCTCAGGCAACAAGGCACCAGCACGGAGGATACGCTGCCCAATTCGGACATCCGTCAGAAGCACCCATCCTCAGGCCGGGGGAAGTCATGTGAGACGCGCGGGGCTGCCGACCGGCATTGTGAAGCTCCGATCCAGCGCATCCCGGACTATCCTCCAGCAAAAACGCGAGCAGCAAGTGACCTGCTATGTTCCAGTCTTCCCGGTCACTCTCCACCTCGGATGTCTACTGACAGCGGAGGTTGATGGTCAGTGTAACAATGGCCAGAAGCGCAAGGTAATTTCCCTATATCCGTGGTTGCAGTGGGGTGGGGGATGCATCCTGACCAGCTCTTTTGTCCACAGACCCAATGCGATCCGGCCCCTCCCTACGCGACTGACATCACATCCACCCTGAGTTATCGCAACTCGCGTCGTGACCGAAATCGAACTGCGTCCCCTGCCCTCGCTACGATGAGTACATGGGAAGCAGCAATCGCTACCCTCCAAGGGATCGCAGGCACCCCGACGCCACTCATAGTTCCGGATCTCACAGCATGCCGGTCGCGGGATATGGACACTCGACATCTCAACCACATGGCGACTGGGTTGGAAGTACTAAGAATTCTGCTACAATTGTCGAAGGGCGATACCTCATGCCTTATCTCTGTGACTGGGGTTCGGGATAACATACGATAATCTGCCTCCGGCCGACAGCGAGGCCAACACTCCGATCTGGTCTCCTTTTTCTACACTCGGTATCTACCGCCGGAAGGCAAATCCTTTCTCTAGCACAGGTGACCACATCCGCAAGCATCACAAGCCAATCCCTTCATTGAGCGCCGATTCGGCAAAATATGTCAAGACGTCTAGTTCGTGGCGGCATGTTCCATGGTCAGCATACAGCTAGTCTGTACATTGGGTCTTGGGCACCATCAACGCAATGGGCGGTATGCGGGCCGACAGGTATACTATCAAAAACTGTCGAGCCAAGTAGGCGCTCTCATACTTTATCAAGGCTCTTTTGGTACCGTCTACCAAACATTTTCACGCTCGACAACTGCTACTTAGAATGATCTACCCTGTTCAGTTGAGCACCTTTTGCAGGTTTAGGGTACTAACGGACAGGATGGCTGCTCAAAATTCGGCCGCATTGCAGCACTAATCGTCAATAGACGCGATGCCTAGGATACACCTTGCTTCAGGTGACATGGACTGCCTTCAAAAGGATGGAGGTGTCGTGCAGACAAATAATGTTCTGGCACTACCGCGCCATGGAAAATAGTGACGAGCTTTAGGTTACCGTCATCGACAGCTATGTGTACGTCAACTAACCTCCGATGTCGTTCAGTGAGGACCTCAGAAGCCCTCGCCGCGAGTGTGCATGCAAGTTAGACCATCGGTCAATGAACCCCATTGGTCGGGTTCGTGTACTCAAATCTTTCGGTGCACCCCTGGTCCACATATGTCAGAGTAACACCACCTACAAGCAGATTACTTTCTCTCGCCTTAATTCCGTGCCCTCTTGTGCCTCAGGAGATACTGTCTCATCATTCTCAAACCATACGCATCGCTCCTCTGCCATGGTCTGCCATTGGACCCATCGAGACCCACCGAGAACGCCTGCAGAACGATCCATGTTGCCTGCCGGATTTCTACAGTATTACCGAGCTCTGCGGCAGCATATAAACTCTTTCATAGATGCAACCCTGCTTCAGTCATCCGGCCAACGGTACTGCTCCATATTGACACGGCCCGGCTCCGCGGAATTGAGATACATTAATCTTAGTGTTGACATCGCGGCCAACATCAATGCGTCTGCTTCGCTCATTGACTTATATTTAAAGCGCTAGTTGGTAGTAATAGTGACCCGGAAATCACGCAGCAAGGTCCTGTACTGGCCCAGCCCCAGGACGCAGCCTTTTCAGTGACATCAACAACCCGTGAAGTTATATTGAAAACCCAAAAAATGAAAAAAAAAAAAAAAAGTACGACTCGCATAACATGAGGACCCAGTACTACGTCTATCATGGGCCCATTGAAAGGGACCGGCGAGTTGTCATGCTATTGATCTTGGCGTGGGTCATAGAGATCCCAGAAGTCAGTTTGAAGGATCAAAAAAGCGGGCGGATACATAGGGGAAGTTGTGTATTCAAGCAATTTAGCGAAACAAAATGCACATGGGTGGAGTGTGGCTGGGATAATCGTCCAGTCTGACCATATCTAACAGGGACAAGACCCCTGTCACTTATAACCCTGGACCAGGGCAATTGTCTGTGAGCCAACTGAGGTGTCTACTTTTTCCAACGGATTTCTAGTGCGATATTTATCGTGTTTCCGACTCATAAGGCTGCGGGTAAACTTCCGAGTGGGTCTTAAGGCAAACACGCCTCTGGTGGGCATCCAAGTCTTCTCTATGTTACATTGTGTACACATCCGGCTGCGAAGACATCGGAGGGCAAAATACCTCTGATTGCTTGGTTTGTAGTACCATAAGTCATCTGCAAGCGAGGTTGTTGCGGGATTGGGCCACCAACTGGAGCAGGTTCAACGGATAGGCCGCCATTGTAATGACCTCACCCTTCCAAGAGCCTTTGCCGTTGGCGATTCGGCTGCTTGGCTCAAGCTATGGTGGAGTCGGTGCCTCGAGTCTGCTGCGCAAAGTGTTATGGCAAATAACAGCGAGACCTCGACCCACATGGCAGGAACATGTCTTGCGCTGCCAAGTGATAGGGCTCATATACCAAATAAACCAACGACGATTGAAGCTCGGATCCGAGAAGAGCACAGTGCGGTCACGTACAGTTTGTCATATGGGTTAGCTCGTCCTCTCGTTCCATCACATGGGGGCAAGAAGCCCAGGGGGACGTTCTCCAGTCCATCCACTGTTGCGTCCGGACAGAACAAATCGCCCGGCTATCCGTGAGACGTGGAGTAAGCCTTGGTAGCCTGGCAAAAGAGGCACTAGCTCGCACGTGCAAGCATCCCTGATGCGGAGTGGACGGTGGGTCAGATGGTCCCTTTTCCCGAGGACATGCCGTTGACCCTCTGTACTAATTGGCTCACGTCGGCTATCATAGTTGCCTGATCCTGGTCCCATCCCGGTCCAGCGTTCGACAGCTTCTTCGGGGCTTCTGTTCCTTGCATGCGGGCGCAATTCATGGGACGAGTGTGTGCCAGTAATATCGCCGCGTGGCGGAGGGACTGGCGCCTTTGGCTCGCGCGACCAAGCTTTGGCCAAGGAAGCTTGTTGCCAGGATCCGGATGAGCAGCGCCGAGCTGTCACCCAAGTTCGGCAGTACTAGAGGCAGTTGATCGCAGTCCCACTGCGGTCCTGCCTGGCCTCCCGGGTCTACAAGACGGATTGCACGTTTTCGGGGGTGGTTTGCGTCCGAGTCTCGGTCGCCTATGCAAGCACGGGACAAGCGAGGCGATGGGGAAGAAAGTGGGAAGACGGCTGCAGCGACCCCGGAGATAAGCGCTATCGAGCTTCCCCTCATCCCTGCCGCGTGCATGCGCTAGAGTGATTAAGCTGCTGCCATTGACCAACCCGCGTCCGTGCCTGTGGCCACTCCACCCGAGAGTCCGGCCAGTGGGAGAGCTGCCCAAAGCCACGCCTCGACTCGCGCCGTGTGATTCGAATGCGAGCAGCTCCACCGGGCCGTGGCCTCAGCCCTGTTGCGTCGGTCCGGTTGCTGCTCGCTTTGGGATGCTGGGCACGTGGGCTGTCGCAGGCCGTTGTCAGTGGAGGACGCTTTGCCAGCTCTCTTCCGCGGCCTTCCTAGCCCCTCGCATCTGGCATGAGGCAATTCGCAGTACCCCAAATTCACTCCGATGGAGGGGTATAAAAGCTCCTCCACGACCCCCTCTTCGGACAACCCACCCCGCTCGTCATCCCCAAACTCCGAGGCCCTCTCAATTGTCTGCCAACCCTCAGATCACCATGCCGCGTTCTTCTCTCATCACCCTCACCTGTGCGCTGGCTGCCGGCGCCTCCGCCTTCTCCTACGGCGCGGCTGCCCCCCAGTCCTCCCAGGAGAAGCAGTTCTCTCAGGAGTTCCGCGACGGCTACAGTATCCTCAAGCACTATGGTGGTAACGGTCCCTACTCCGAGCGGGCGTCCTACGGTGTCGCCCGTGACCCTCCTACCGGCTGTGAGGTCGACCAGGTCATCATGATCAAGCGTCACGGCGAGCGCTACCCCTCCCCCTCCGCCGGCCAGGGCATCGAGGAGTCCCTGGCCAAGGTCTACAGCATCAACACTACCGAGTACAAGGGTGACCTGGCCTTCCTGAACGACTGGACCTACTACGTCCCCAACGAGTGCTACTACAATGCCGAAACGACCAGCGGTCCCTACGCCGGTCTGCTGGACGCCTACACCCAGGGTACCGAGTATCGTGCTCGCTACGGCCATCTTTGGGACGGCGAGTCGGTTGTGCCCTTCTTCTCCAGCGGATACGGTCGTGTTATCGGCACGGCCCGCAAGTTCGGGGAGGGCTTCTTCGGATACAACTACTCGACCAACGCCGCCCTCAACATCATCTCCGAGTCCGAGGTCCAGGGTGCCGACAGCCTGACTCCCAGCTGCGACACCGATAATGACCAGACCACCTGTGACAACTTGACCTCCCTCATGCCCCAGTTCAAGATCGCTGCTGCTCGTCTGAACGCCCAGAACCCCGGCATGAACCTCACTGAGACCGATGTCTACCACCTGATGGGTATGTATCCGCGGCCGAAGTCCAGACCCAAGCTAATAGCCACCAGTGATGGCCTCCTACGAGCTCAATGCCCGCCCCTTCTCTAACTGGATCAACGCCTTCACCCAGGACGAGTGGGTAAGCTTCGGCTACGTTGAGGATCTGAACTACTACTACTGCGCTGGGTGAGTTTCTTGTTCATACCCCAAAGACCGTCACTAACCATCGACTTAGCCCCGGAGACAAGAACATGGCTGCTGTCGGTGCTGTCTACGCCAACGCTAGTTTGACCCTCCTGAACCAGGGACCCAAGAAAGCCGGTTCCCTGTTCTTCAACTTGTATGCTTCTCACTCTCTGTGACCAATTCCATAAGCTAACAAGCTCAGTGCTCACGACACCAACATCACCCCCATCCTCGCCGCCCTGGGCGTCCTCATCCCCGACGAGGACCTCCCTCTGGACCGCATTCCCTTCGGCAACCCCTATACAACCGGCAACATCGTGCCCCAGGGTGGACACCTCACCATCGAGCGTCTGAGCTGCCAGGCGACTGCTCTGTCGGACGAGGGCACCTTTGTGCGTCTGGTGCTGAACGAGGCCGTGCTCCCCTTCAACGCCTGCCAGTCCGGCCCCGGCTACTCTTGCCCGCTGGCCAACTACACCTCGATCCTGAACAAGGATCTGCCTGATTACACCACCACCTGCAACGTGTCGTCGTCGTACCCGCAGCACCTGTCGTTCTGGTGGAACTACAACACCACCACTGAGCTGAACTACCGCACTAAGCCGATTGCCTGCCAGGAGGGTGAGGCTATGGATTAGATGGGATGAGTGATGATGTGAATGAGTTGGTGGCTGCGCTACCGGGTGATGGAATGATGTTTATGTGACGAGCTTATGATCACCATGTTAATATGTCTTGGATGCACAGTCTGGTGAATGTATATAATGGTAATAATGGCTATATATTTATCGATGGTTTTGAGAGTGTTATTTCACCAATGATCCGGTCGAGAGCTTGGAGCACTGACCAATGGCTACTCGATAAATCCAAATTCTTCTAGCTTTCATTCCTGAAAGCTCGGCCGGTAATCCCAGCGCAGTGGATTATGTCTCGAAGGATTTGAAGATATGCCTCGGTTCAACTGTGGGGCCTCGCCATAACCATCCGGCCATCATTCGGCTTCCTCTTCACGGTCGCGTTTGTGTATTATGACTTTACATACGTTGTAAGTATATCGATTGGGCTCGTACTAGCTTGCCAAAATGCATCGCGACGTTAGTATACGAGCAGAGTGAGAAATGAAGTATGAATTTGAGAAACGGGCCGCCAACCAACAAGGTGATGGAAAGAATACATATTGCCGTGAAGGGATTGACTCCAGCACATCAAGGACATCGCGAATCTGATTCGAACCCAGATGAAGAGCCTTCTTCACCAATTTGAAACACCGTAAATATTCCTACTACTATGACGCTACGATATATACAGACTACTGTGGCCTAACGAGCAGTTTAGGGAGTGGAATGCTGGCCGGCCAGCGGATTGGCATGGGATGATTGTTGCACAAAGTGTGTACTCTGCTTCGTAACAAGAACAACAACAAAAATTAGAAATGATGCGTTTTAATCAATAAGTACTGCATTTTGACAGTGTCAGCCCATGGATGCGACGAGTAGCAAGAAGAAAGAGATTACCCTGCTTGCATAAAGCAAAAAGGAAAAGGAAAAAGAAATGCTCCCACGCGGATTTGAACCGCGGACCTCATGATTACTAGTCATGCGCTCTACCAACTGAGCCATAGGAGCTGTTGATGTATGAAGCTTACCAGCTTGGTCATATGATCGTTACAATTTATTTCAACAGTTTGCTCTGGTTCCCCAAGGGTCAGTTTACAGGCGCCCGACCTGCGACAGCACCGGTTAGTCTATGAGATCCAATTCTCACACGACGCCGAAGTCCCCCGGGCAGGAGTATGCAGATGGGAGTGGCCAGCGGCAATGGCTTTCATGGAAGGGTATGGGAACACATCTTGAATGGTAGGATAACTCTCCCAATATGGCACGGCATTGACTGAAATAGGCTCGTTACATAACCATGGCCTTCGACACCGAAGAGCGAAGGGCTTTACTCCGGGTTGTTGCCATCAAAATTGCCGGGATCTTGAGTTTAGCCGGCATAAAGTGGCAGTCATGTGCACTACGTACCGATAGGACAGAGATCCAATCCTGGCTTGAGTGAAAAGGGCACTGCGGAGCATCATGTGAGAAATTGCAGCAAAGAACAGGGGGCACGGCGGTGTTGACAAGCTTCAATCGCTCCCGCGTTATTTACAAAGCATGCTAGCGTTGAGCGACTGTAGGTAAAGTCTCTTCCCAAAGACTTAGCTCCTGTTTGGTGCAAAATCTGAGCTTTGAACTGGTTCATCCTTTCAATATTGTCTCTATCTACCGCTTCAACCGAACAAGAAGGGGTTCTTTCTGAGGGGGGGTGGGTGGGGGATAGCAAAGACCCCCAGAACATAGCTTCAACTCATAACTCTAAAACAGAACTATACATACATTCAGACTACAAATCTAAATTAAGTACTGTGTTTATAGGTACTTGACGAGGCCCTTTAGGAGCGCCTGACAAGGCCCTTGAAGAATCCTTTAGGAGTGCTTAACGAGACCCTTTAGAAGTACTTTGACTAGATGCTTTGGAAAATGCGTTGTAGTATGTCAAGAACCACGTAGGAAAAAAGAAATATATCCCTTCTCAGCCCCGGGCGTATAAGGTAGAAATATGGCATGTCTCAACATAAGAATCAAGATACTTCGCAATGCTTTGAGCTGTGCGCGAGACTGTACGTCGTGGACGCAGGTCACGACCTAGTTGAATATTTACATATCGTCCGCATTGACAGAAGATTCAATGATCATCACTCTGATGGATCTACGACCGATTGAGGTCTTGGATCCAATTGAGAATATAATGCTAATTTTCCATCAAAGACAGATCAACCGACTGTAATTGATGGCTATCATAAGGAAGACCCGGTTGTCTGACAGCATCGCCCGCCAAACTGGGATCAACCGCAAATTCGAGTGATTCTGCTAGCAAACGCTCGCAGAAATCAGGCCCGTGTTTCCTTTGGTTGAAGGAAGGGATGACCCGCCAGCTCGCCAGCTGCTTTTCTCAAATTAGGATGCCAACCAAGCATTCCCCTGGCAAGATCCAGAAACGCTTCCTTCTCTTCTCCCTCAAGGACGGACACTGAGTCGCCTAGCTTCCGGTCAGGAATCAGGCCTTCGTAGAGAAAGCGACCTAAACGTCCTGTGAGTCAGAAAATAACCCGTCGAGATAGGGATGAGTAATACCATTATTATCAAAGAACGGCCCGCAGAAGTACTCCTCCGCGGTCTCACATACCCTGTCATCTTCTCGTCTGACAGGTTCCGGCCACGAGTACTCCCGCATGTATTGATACCTTTGTATGATCTCCGGAGGGGGTGGCCCGAATAAAGCAATCATCTCAGCAATGTGTCGTTTCGCATCGTACCGACCGTTTCGATCATGGATATGCTGAAATAGCTCTCTGCCTTCGATCATATCCCACAACTGGCTTACGATGAGTAAATGCGCCAACTTTAGAAAAACAGGGAACGTACCAAAACACCAAGATTCCAAATATCTGCAGGCATCTGCCATCCAATACCGAGTATCACCTCCGGCGCCCGATAGTGGTCTGGCTGAATAGGCCAAACACCCCAGTCGTCGTCTTCCTCGAGTCTGGTCGCCAAGCCAAAGTCAACCAGCTGTGGTATACTCCTTAGGCTTCTTAGTGGTCCGAAATCACTACGGGACTGATACACGGCTCGTCCTGTCAAATCGATCTTGAAAGCCATGGGATGTTCAAGCTGAGAGTCCATGAAATTGGCTAGCACGGTTGGGTCCTCGAATGAGATCATGATGTTTTCGAGCTTTAGATCTAGACAGTTGCTTGGCTCAGTTCTATTAACGGGAAGCAAAGCCGGAGATCAACCTACCTGTATGGACGATCCTGCATTCCTTGTGAAGATAATCAAGTCCCATGAGAAGAGCACGAATGTATGTTTTAACAAGTGGCAGTGGCATCCTCTCATTGTCAAAGCGCCGCTGGTACATCGATAATGGCTCCCTCATAGGCATATATACAAGACACGAATGAGAACCCTCTGGACCTCTAGTTTCAAAAGAATCTAGTAATGTTCGGATAACTGAACGACCGCGATGTGATGGGTCTGCCGTGGAGATATAATCTTCAATCTCGCGCTCACGACCAGCAGAGCTAGTATTATTATTAGCGACTTTTAGGGCTACAACGCTCTCTGGCTCCTCGATATGCCTGTATATCTGTTAGAGAACAGAGAACCTCAAGTTGAACAAAGTTCAATGAAGGCTATCCTTACAAATCACGCGCGAGCCATACTGTTGATGAAACGCCCCAGCCAACCTTGACTAGGGCTTGATAACGATCGGCGAGTATCTCTCCAGGCTTCGCTGGATAGAAGTTCTTGGAATTGTATACTGGCGAGATCTCTTCGTCAACGAGTATGCCGGGCGGTAAAGGTGGCCCGGGAGAAGGCATGGAAAACGGTTTCTTGCGAAGCAAAGCGGATAAACGAGGAACAGACGGTCTTATAGTGTTCATTACAGAGTTACTTCCGTCAACTCGACGGAGGAATGTGATAGCTTAGTTGTCAAATAAGAAGAAGAGGAGGAGAGAGAATCAAGGAGCCCGAGCACGGGTGGTGAGCGTGATCACGTGGCACGATGATCAGAAGGTGACTATTCTTGATACAGACTAGCGGGAAACAGGCTGTCAGCCAATGAGACCATCGGATGCTTCCGATCAAAACAGCGAGGTAGACGACCATACCTTGCCAAAGGCCACGACTACGCTGCGTAAAGAAGGCCAGAGCGTTGGGGAGAGGTGGGTGAAGCTGACGGTAACTACGGTAAGGCAGTCGGAGTACCACCTCGATCCTCGTACGACGTTGACAGCCGAACAATAATAGCATGCCAGAGTAGCTCCGGTCACGCTTCATTGGCTACGCCCTAGAAAGTCTCTCCTGTTTCTGTCACAGATGCTATCTGAGGGCGCATATGTGACCAATAGTCCTTTACACTGCTACTGCTGCCTACCGATGATCAATCAGGCACTGCCCTGAATTTGGCGCCCCGGGGGAAACCCATTTAGCAACAGGGGGTAAGCGCCCGGTTGCAACACGGACTGTGTCAGCCTCTAGCTGAGCCTCGACTCCAGCCGTGTCGGGGACGAATTATATCCTATCATTACCCAGGTCTGCCGGACGGCTGAGACCAGAAAACCATGGAGATGGATGGGTAGGGAGGGCGGCAATGCAACCGATGTAGTACGTCAAGGTCACAGTAGATGCGCAAGAACAGCTCTGGTTCGAGGCACTTATCTTTAGGCCCGAAGATTCCATGAGAGCCTAACATGCTCGAAAAATAATTTGTAGCTCCTCTGCCAATGGATTTGTCGACGCTCTGTGCCGTCCACAACGAAACGCAAGGCTGTGTGAATGATGCCCTAGTTGATACCGCTCCTGACGAGGGTATATAAGCGAGTTGTATACCACAGCTCATGAGCATCATTCTAGTCTCATCAGATTATTTTCATACTCTAAGAAGCCTTTCACAGTTGAAGAATCATACTCTTTGATCATTGTCGACATCTGGATCTACGAAAGCTAAACAATCATGGCTATGCGAGCATTTTCAAGCACCGCCGGACAGTTGAAGCAGCTCAATTGGAGTCTCTACGGAACAACCATCGACGTCAACTGGTTGATCCAGCAGATCGAGCGCTCCATCGATGAAGTTCCCGGGTTGAGGGCTCGTGTTGTCAGCGCGCAGGTAATGTAAGACACTTGCCTCCTGCCTTTCCCCTTGGATTGAAGTACGAGTTTAGCTAATGTGGATAGCGGAAATCCTCACCCCACCCCCAACCGCAACGACCCGTACCATGGATCCGTGGTCCTTCTGGACAAGGAAGGTAAACGGGTTACATCCGCGCATGCCTACCTCAACGGGTATGTCAAGTTTTCCAGAGAGACGGCATTCAAGCCCGTGAAGCTTCCCCCGATACCTGGAGCACCAGTCTTCCCGCCGGAGGGCATCGAGACTGTGAAGTCTAGTTCGCCGTCTGGATCTAATCAGTCGACCTCTAAGACGGGCAAGAAATGATAGATAAGCATCATTAGTTGCGCTGGATATGTGGTCTGCAGGCAGATGTATGATTGGGTTTTGTTGTCACTAGTGCATGTTTGGCTGGCCTTCTTGTTGGTTGTTTCATATGATTTTGCCTTGATATTTTCCATGAATATTCCATATTAGATCCATCCATGTAGTTATTATGGCGAGGGCAGAAAGCTATGTAAGGTTGGCTCTATCCACTGTGGTTGGAGCGTTCTACCCAGGGTACCTCCATTTGAATGTAGGCGCTAAAGGTAAGAATCAACTATATCATTATCTAGTATATTGTTTCAGCTCATAGATGTGTAATCATTCATTACTGTGGAAAAATATACTTTAGCTGACTCAATTATTGAGATAACCATTTCCCGACAAAATACAGCCAGGCCCTCAACATTCAACAAGCTCTCCAATGACGTCGCATCACACTCTGACCGCTAGACTTGTGTAGCACACACGAACAAAGCAAATTAGGAGTAGTGACCGATGACGTGAGCGTGCCCGACACCTGCAAGGCTGAGGGGTGGCTGAGCCATCACCACTCGGACTTAAGTGGATTCGCGGATAGGGCCGTGATAAGCGCCACCCCAACACTCAGCCCCGACCCTGTCAGGTCAGACGTCAGACGCCTGATCGGTTGATCTGACAATATAAATATCACGAACAGCTGTGCTTACTATGACCCCTCCTCCACGATCTATCTAGCAGATCACTCAACCCTCAACCCTCCTCCACTCCTTCAACCACCTTCCATCACACCACAACCCTACAACCATGACCAACCACCCCGCATTCGACGTCTACTTCATCTTCCAAAAACAAGAACTCAAGTTCCTCTTCACAACCCCCACCCACGCGGCCGCCTACCAGACCCTAAACCGCGAAGCCCGCATCTTCACCCACGAACCATGCGCCGTCTACCTCCCTCTCTCCCCAAGCATGACCTACCTCCGCGACAGCAGCACCAGCGGACTAGTCATCGGGTTCACAACCCCTCAGGACGCAGAATCCTGGTGTCGGACGTCCGTCCTGGGGCATATTTATGCCTCTGAACCGAGCACGGAAGTCCGGATCCGACGGGCTTGGACGGAGGAGGAGTTAGATGAGGTGCTACATTTGCAGAAGCATCATCATCATCATCACCAGCAACAGCACCAGCCCAACGGATTCCGGGATAGTGTTCCCCTCCCATTACGACCTGCTATGGCGCCGAATACACCTCCTTCGGGATCGAGATCACGCCCGTCGAGTGGACAGTTTGCGCCGCCGGCTTGGGCGCAGGTTTCAAGCCCGAACTCGGGGACTGGGTCTGGGTCGGGGTCGGGGTCTCCGCCTCTTTCATCGCACCAGGCGTATTCGCCTGAGGGTCCGGCATCCAAGGGTAGTCATACGGCGTATCGTGCGTCCCGCGTGCCGTCAGACTCGATACAACATGTCAGGGAAAGTCAGCCGTCGGTAGAGGTGGAGCATTTGGATGTGCCGCCGCTGAGAGTGGGACATGTATCGGGTGGTGCGCATAGTGCGAGTGTTCATTAGGGTATGGGGATAGAGGGTGGATTGATTGTTGAGATGGGTTGTTTGGCATAGCGATGGCGTCGGTTTATAGAATGCGTGTTTTCACTTTCGTTTCATGACTATATATACTAGGATACTACTAATTAGGTATCTATTTATCAACAATCCAACTAGTATAAAATGGAGAAACTTCCCCGAAGCATCCCATCGACGAATATATTCATGACCCGGCAGACAGTGTACAACCTGGCGAGACACTAGCCACCACTTGCAACATCAAATACCATGGAATGGATCACGCCCGATCCGGCCAGGCATCATACAACCCCTCCGACACAGTGACATTCTCAAACTTCACCTCCCCAACTCCATTCTGGAAGAAGCTAATGCCCGTTGAATTGGCATACCACGACCTGATCCGATTAGCCCACATCCCATACCCTCATTTGTTACCGAGAAAGAAAAGAAAGAAAGAAACTCACCTAACCCACGTACTCAACGCAAACCGTCCATTCGCATACACCTCCAGTACCGAATTATCCACCACGAGAGTCAAATCCAGCGTCTCAACCACTTCCTTCTCCCCATCTCGCACATCAAACAAGCGCAGTCGACCGGACTCAGGGGAGCTATCAATCCCACTCGTCGTCTTCGCCGCAGCACTGGTATTACTCCTATCGACGATGATCGACTCATTCGAGAACTGGTAATAGATCGTCGTGCTTTCCAGCTCCGAAGACAGGATCTGGAATCCGCCCTGCAGGGAGGAATTCCTCGCCGACGCAGGAAAGGTAAGTTGGGCCGAGAGGACGAAGAATTTGGAAGTGGGGGAGTGTTGGAACGGGATGAGGCTGGTGGTGTTTAGGGTACGGGATGGTTCCGTGGCAGAAGTCCCCGAGAGAAGGGCGGATTTCGTTTCCCGAGCGATGGAGATTCCCAGGGTTTGGAGGTCGACTGTCCCGGCGCTGCTGCGGACTACTCGCCACGAGGCTTCGGATTCCCGGGCCAGGGCGTTGTCGACGACGTTCGGGATGGTGAGGACGCGGAGTTCGCGCGGGAGAAGCAGCGTGCCGGTCCAGTTTTGCTGATCGGTGGGGAAGCCCTTGGCTTGTTCGAAGAGATCGCCGGAGAGCCAGACGTAGGAGATGAAGCGGTCGGGGGCACCGCTCTTGGTGGAGGGTTGGGAGGTGGCGGGGAGGATTTTGCCCGAGGCGGCGTAGGAGGAGAAGCCCCAGTCGAGGAAGCCGGCCATGTTGGGGGTGAAGGTGATGGAAGAGTTGTTGGCGACGGTACCCGAGACCCAGAGCATGTCGTGAATGCTGGTGAGTTGGGGGACGATGGGTTGGCCGGAGCCCTCGGTGCCCAGGGTGGTGAAGATCTGACCGTCCGGGTTGTAGCCTTGGTCGTCGAGACTGAAGACGTTGCCCGTTTCGAAGTTAAAGCCCCATCGGCCGGCCCAGGTGCCGTTGCCCCAGGTCGAGTTGGTGGGCTCGTGCCACCATTGGCCGAGATATTCCCAGTACTGGAAGTCGGGGTCGTATTGGCGGTAGAGGAATTGAGCGGGTCCTTTGCCGTGCAGGCCACCGGAGATGACGGTGTACCAGGTGTTGTTGGGGCTGGGAAGGAGGGAGTCGAGCGTGGGGTTCTGGAAGACATAGGGGTCACGGAAGCCGGTCACGTTGTAGGCAAAGGGAGGGCCGGGGATGACGGGGCCCTGGTCGAGCTTAGTGAAATTACGGCCGCCGTCGGAGGAGACGGCAAGGGATTGAGTCTCGCTGCCGCGGGTGTAGGGGATGGACCAGTGGATGGGGAGGAAGGAGACGGAGGTGTAGAGCAGGGTGGGCAGGCTGTTGATGCCGGCGGGGATAACGGAGCCATCGAACACGGCAATGGGATCGTTGATGCCGCCGGGCACAATGGACTGTCTGCCTTCGGGGTTCAGGTCCTGGTAGGTGGCCAGGTCATCGGTGGTGGCGCCAGAGATGCCTTCGCTGTTGTGCAGGTAGCCGACGTGGAAGAGGCCGGTGGAGGGATCGGTGTAGTGCATGCATGGGTCACCAACCTGACCGGTGGGCGGAAGCACATGAGCGCGGGGGCGCCATGTGTCGAAGAGGGAGCCATTGGGGAGGGTAGACAGATTGGGGGGAGCGACATTATAGTCGATGGAGACAGAAGACCGCGACTGCATGGCAGAGTGAGTGCCCAGAAGCACGGCGGCTGGGGGGAGCTTCATGATGGCTGCGTGGGAGGGGCGCTGTTATTCTCTTGCCATGGAAGAACATGGCATTAAATAGTGGCATGGTTGCTGCATGGTCGGGGAATCTCCGCGGACTAGTTCGAGGTGGAATGTTGGATGGGCCATAGTCTCGGGGAAATGTGAGATGCGGAGAAGGCCCGCTTAGGGTTCCGGGGAGATTCAGGGTAGGTTTCCCCGAGGTTTTCCCTCGTTGCCTCCGAACCAAGGCCATCACGATGCCGATCTTCCCGGATCGGATGCGATGAGGGGTTTGTGACCTGAGGGAAATTGCACGCTGGGGACTGATATCTTGGCCAGCTCTGTGGTGGGCTGGTTTAACCCTAAGGAGTATGTCGGGGGAGTGTCGGCTGAGAGGTAAAATGGGTCAGGTTGGGAACCCGTTGGGAAGACAAGAGAAGCGGGTGGAATGATACCGTCTGCATATGATGCCCGCGGGGACAATGCCAGATCAAGGACCCTAAGTGAGTTGTTTCAGAATCTGCCAATACGTATTCGTGGAGTGCACATTGGCTTAGTCAAAGACAATACCTTGGGAACATCGTGATTGGCCGTCACAAAGCACTATCCCACAAAGGGATGCGATTTCTGGTTATGGCGTTTCATCCCGACAATAAGGCAGCATAAAGAAATCCCCTCCAGCCGTCTATGTTAGCTAAATGGATATTGACTGTGCTTTTTGGAGATGCTGCCCTGATTGGACCCTGCAAACTTTCATTCTATAGGTTCATACCCCTGAATTCGTTGCACCACATGGATCACCCCACTTGATGCTGTGGCAGTGGTATCTCTTTAAGTGTACTGCTATCTGACAGCTTACATTCCAGCCCTCCGAGTAATGCCCCGCATCTTGAGATTCACGTTGTTTTAAAATTTCAGGAGTCATCCATCCAGAGATCTTTTGATGTCACAACATCTCGATTGAAAGCATAAGCCGCTTGATCATGATCACACAAGTGGAGCTGCGAAGGCACGACACAGTGGAACTGCAAGAGTTCCTTATGCATCTGGCTAGATCGTGCCATGCTAGATAATCTGGCTTACCTTGTCAGGGAATGAGCAGCGGACGCATGCCAACCCCGCACAGGCCATCAAGTGATCTGCAGAGCCAATCACTTCCCGATGATCTGATAGGTGGTCATTTGAAGATTGCTGACAGCCTCTATCAGTACGGCACGTCGGCAGTCCGAGGCCGAGGGTGGCTAGCTACCCATCCGACCGGTCGCATTTGGAATCAGATCGTGATTCTAACAGTGTACTTGACATCCCAATTGTCGATGTATCAGTCGAGTCATTGAACGCATAATGAGTTGAAAATCCGAGTAATGCGCGGATGACCCATCCATGCAGGGATCAGGTCAAAGCCGGGGTATCGGCATTCCTCACGGCTAGCCTTCTCGAAGCCATCGAAGCCATCGGCCCACATGGCCTCTGTTATATATCAGTGACAGACCGATCACACGGGATCGACTATGGATTGCGTAGTCGAGACAGTCTGAAGGATTCGGTGTGATCGACCCAGCTCCACTACCGAGTAATCTAGCTGCAGAAAATTCGCCGATCGCTTGCTGCGAGACGATGTTTGGCCCCTGGTCGGCGTGATAGGTTCCCTCGTAGGGTTTCTTCTTCCATTGGTTGGTAGCAGCGGGTTGTATTCGCGTTATCGCCGAAACCTTGATCAACAAGTAAGCGTGCATCTAGCTTCAATGGAGTCCGGACATTGAGCCGCATACAGATGCGAAAGATCGATGGCTACACGTCGTATAGGTATTTTCCTGAAAGCATCAATTAGTGAAGGTACTATTAAATCCAGCCATGCAAGTGAGTTGGATGTCTGAAACCAGTAAAGATTGTCAAGTGAGACCGGTGAAAGAACGGGGACGATGGCGCTATTCCCCTTTGAAGATCGGTTGGACGGTGCGTAAAGAACAATGGGATACAAAGCAGCATGTCACATCTCAGCAACCACAACCAGAACAAAGGTTGACAGCCAAAGACAAAGTCATTGAGGTCAACTGAAAGCCCGTATTAAGGTACTTCTCCGCATAAATCCAGTCCAACAATGTGACTACCGCAGTGGAACATGGCTAGACCCGGAGATATGTAGTTGTCTAGATGATCATTGATCTGGGACAGAGAATGGGAGGGTTCAAAGCTGCTACACGTGAAGATGCCCGTCTCTTGGACAAAGCTCCTGATGGCCATATGAGCCCGCGAGGCCTATATAAAGGCATTGTTGCTGCGACTCCCTTCCATCATTTGAATTGCTCGCTGCATCGCATACCATCGAACAACCATCACTTCTCGTCCAATCAATACCGCTAAGCAATTCCGCGCGACCATCATGGCAACCAAAGGCCGACAAGATATCGCACTCCTGTGTCTGGCATACAGGGAGTCCCTGGATATCGATTATGAACCCTTGATCAGCGAAATGAGTAGGAAATGTAATCTGGTGCGTCTACCATCCACCGGGATAGCGCTGAGATACCTAGCGAATCACACCCCAAAGAGCATCGTCGTGACAGACGAGGGCATCAGCGACCCAGCCAACCAAGGCGTGGTGAAAAAGCTCAAGGCCTACATCCAGAATGGTGGGTGGGTGATATTCGCCCTGGACTTTGCCCGCTCCACAACCGCGGATCAATTCAACAAGCTGTTTAGCCAGGGATTTGGGACACCCTGGGAATATGGAGGTCGCTCCCAGATCACATGCGGGTTCAATCAACAATGTGCTATCCCAATCGGGCGGGTGCCGGTGTCGGCGTCCTCGTATAATTTGGAGGCGCATCTCGTCAAGAACGCTGCTCCTGTCGAACAGATCGTCGTTCCGATGGAATCCGTGGAATCGTGTCCGGCCGTGGTAGCGGGGAAGCAGTTGGGCAAGGGGTACTTGATTTATTGTGGGAACGACAGTGTTGAGGTGGACCTTGACATGGTGATATTGTCTGTGTGCAATTGGCAATGGCTCTCTTGATTGAGACTCACTGGGATGTGCAGTGCACAGGCCGCGACCGAGGGCAATGTTTGTTTCTGGAATCGCGTTGTTTATTTATGGATATTAGACCAATGATCAATGTAGATTTTGAGCATAGTATGCTCATACAGCTCTGATCAATCATGATTGTGGATGATATCTCTGTATGTAATAGGGACCGCCGGTTGGCCACTGGGATGCGCCTACGGGGTTATAAAGGGGCCTGAACATGTTGTCTAGTTATTCCTCAGTTTCATCAGATTCAATTTGACTGACTGATGTTGCCTCCAAGATCCACAATGATCATGTTCGTAGTTTCATGCGTAGTGGTTCATATCGACTAGAACTTATCACCTGCCAGCATTAGGAATGCAAATCACAGTGGTATATAGGCCTCCTACTTACAAGCAGTAGTGTGAATGGTGTCCACTCTCAATGGATGTGAAGTCGCATCGTGCTTTCCTGGTGTTCCACCGTAGAAGAGTCCTGCCTAGGTACTCACCTCCCAGAGGAAGCTACGCCGAGAAGCTTCCCTCTGCGATGAAACTTGCGACAACGGCAGGCCCTTCTGCCATATAAGGGTGTTCTCCCCCTCTGCCTTCTTTCTCTTCTCCTCGCGAACATATATTACTTCATATCCATCTATTAACTCTCTGCTGATCTTCTGCAGAACTTCACTCGTTTGATCAAACCCCATCAAGGCATCTACCATGGCACCCAGGCCCCCAGGGATCCTTCTTTTATGCCTTACTCACGAAGACTCCCTCAAAGACACCTATGCACCCCTTTTGAAGCGCCTGGACGAATTGGCTCCCCTGCAGCGGGCCAAAACGGTGGAGGAAGCAATCCGCTGGCTTGAAGCGAAACCCATGGCGGTCATCGTCACCGACGGAGGGGTCACTCTACCCGCAAACCGCCCCGCCCTGGAGAAATTAAGATCCTACGTCCGCGGCGGTGGGTTGGCTATTTTCGGCCTATTGTTCCCCAGCTTGACGCCTCTGAACCGGTTCAACGGTTTCTTTCGGCGGAATTTCAATCTGCCGTGGGAGTCGGGGGATAACAACCGATGTGACTTCGATTACAATGACATGTGTTACCTGCCAACCGGGACCGTATCCGACTCGTTACCTAGATCATACAGCATGAAGGCACTTCAGATTAAAGATGCTCGCAGTTACGAGAAGATCTTCATTTCTGTGAGAGACTTTGTGACCGATACGCTTTCCTCCCCGGGAGAATTGATCGACCGGGCACAAGCGGCAGTGGTGGGGGGGAGGATGGGCCATGGATACGTGGTTTATTTGGGGGATGTCAACCAGGAAAAGGAGTCGGATGAAGTCATTCTCACTCTTTGTGATCGTTGAAACTCTCCTGGGAGACCCCGGGTGCCACATTATAGCGATGGAAAGTTAACTTAGCTTGAGGGCGGAGGACTTATGTTTATCACAGTATGCCACTAGAGGCATGATAGCAGGGCAATCGGCTCCAGACGAAATGAAATCTATTGTAGGCGACGCACTCATGACGAAAGTATTATACAGGGGAAAGAGATTTAGGGAGCGTATATTAGAACCCGGCCGGCAAAGGAGTTGTAAGGAATGTGTCCTGGCGAGGCGTGGTGTTTTGATCGACGAGGCAGAAGGGGTATACTCGAGAAGGCGGAATCGGCGGGAGAGGCATCAGTCACTGCCAACGATACGTTCACAGCAGCTGCAGCAGTGGCAGCAGAAACAGCAACTGTAGAAGAGAGGTGTGTCAGTTCCTGCGGGGCAGGGGGAGTAGTGCCGAGGGACGATCACTCACGCATCTTCGGGCCCATCACCACCACGCAGACGCAATTCCATGCCTTCCCCGGGAGTCTGGTTCAATTTCCGATTAGCTTTCCGTCCTTGGGTCAGCATCCAATTCGCGGCACGTACCGGCTGGTCGGTCACGATGTTGTCCATGGTGGGAGCGGCCGGGCTTTGAGGTTGGTTCATGGTCAGGGTGAGGGGATCCCAGGACATCTCCTGAACCTGCTCCTGGGCGGAGGGACGGAACCAGCTGAGAACGTTATCAAACATTATGTGGATTGGTAATTGGTAATAGGAGGTTGCGCGACGTGTCTTAATCTGCAACGAGGTACCGGAAGGACTGAATCGGCCGTAGATCGAATGCGAATGCGCAATCAAGTAAAAAAAAACGAGTGTGAGGGTAGACGTCTGGGGAAAGGAAAGAAAGAAAGAGGAGAGAAGAGCAAAAGGGCTGACGGAACGGGCTAAATTGACACCATCGACGCCATTTAAGATTGAGGGCCGCCGCCGGACATGGCGGATTTGTGATGGCTCGCGTTTTTTTTGCTGGGCGCAGGGGCACGATAAGGTGGCCCCTCGAAGCTTAGCCCAATCGGCCTCTAGTGGCCGAACCATCGGGGTTGGCCTCGTCGCCTGCGATTCAGGCTGGCAGGGCCCGCCCACACGTACGTAACTGGCGGAGGGATACTTACGTAGACAACTCGACACAGCGTGGACTTGTCGAGACGGAGGGTTTGGTCGCACGCATGAAGCGTTGTCGAGTATGGTGGTTAAATGCTTTGCCCGTTGCAACTAACGGGGGCATCCGCAACAGGAGAAAATAGCATCAGATGGAGGGATCATCAGTATCCGGTGGCCATGATTGGCAGAACTGGCCATGTCAAAAACTGGGGGTCAATCCGGCCAGTGTCCCGAGGGAGTTCTAGCCCAGGAGCTGGCCTGAGGAGCGGACAGGCAGCAGCGGAAGAGCCATCGGGTTCCTGAGAGGGAGCAAGAGAACATCCGAGAAGTTGACTAGTCTGGTCAGGTCTGGGGGCGCTACGTTGGGTCCCAGAGTGACTAGTGGCCTCTAGTGTGGCTTACCCTCCAATCGGACCCGGGCGGGGGGTGGCCTCGTCAGCAACGGACCAACATTGATCCGGCTGGATCAGCAGAGCCGATGTACCAATCTCTCCAGCAGTCACTTTCCCCTGGACCTCCTGAGAATAATTAGTAGGATATTATGTTGACATCAAAGTACCTAGTCCATAGTAAGGACAAATTTAGGGACCTTACCCCTGAACCTTCAGGGTTTAATCAAGGGTCGTTGTGAGTCGCCAGATACTAATTGCTATGGTTGTACGGGTAGAGTATATCCGGATTCCAGATTCCCGCAACGGCATATAACAGTAGCTTCTGCCAACTGCGGGACCGCATTTCCTACAATAAACTCCTGGCGGTTAAGAATAGTACGATCAACACTGTCAACCTGCGACAGCCAGCACCACTTGGAGCACCTAGTCTTCTACTAGACAGCATCGCACGGCTACCTCGATCATGTTTACGCGTCGCGAGGCGTCTTGAAATTCTGGTTGCCGCCCATGCCCAGCCTAGCCTAAGATAATCTGTTACCACGGAACTCGTGGGGCTCCGTTCAAACAAGATCGACTGAAAACATCCTGCCCTATCGGGACCGACTACCGTAACAAGACTGTGAAAGCAAAGCGCTGCACTTCCTCCGGTTCATCATCCATCGGACATAGCTGCAACCAGAACGGCAGTCATGTCCGACCGGTACTCGCACCGGTTCGCATTCCTCCATAGTACGTGTCAGCTCTGGACCAAGCTTTTTGGTCCGATGCTAAGCTTTATCCTGGTGCCTAATCCGATCGAGGTTTCAGGTTAAATGGATGATGCAAGCTGGATAGCGCGTGTTACTAAGTGCACACGGTCGGTGTCCATTTTCCGAGTTGCTGCTAGCGATTCTGAACCTAGGTTCCTTTGCAACATTGCAGATGCGCCGAGGAGAGGGTTGTTTTCCACTCATTACGGACATTTGAAGGTCTGGTCGACGGATGCAGACATCTTGACAAGAGCACAGATGAGAAGAATCAACGACAGTCATGTCGGCAGGGATGCGCTGGGGTCGATGTACGTTCCTGACGAACTTTAGAATGTTGATGAACAAGAATTGACTCACCCCAGCTGAGTTTGGGGGGAATTGGCAAGTTGAATGCTGAGCTACCTAGACGACAACAAATTGCCTAATGACGAAGAACCAGCGAATCTCAGCAACCTATAGCTTCTGAAAGCACCAAAGAACGCACAATGCACGCGGATGATGTTGAGCGACTACATCAACGCAAATACATGGGTTGACACGGGCCTGCACTATGTTTTGATTCAACCCACTACATCCTAGCCAGCAGCCATAGCCGCCGAGTCTCGACCAACACCATTTACTGTCCACAAGCATTGCTGGCTGCGAAAAGCCACAGAGCTGCTGTTGGTTGCATCTTGTGACACTGGACTCACGCGCGGCATCTTGATTCAGAAAACCCTCGGTGCGACCATACATCCGGCTTTTACATGCCAGCAACGAAAGTACTGAATGAGGACATGATGGGCTGTAGGTCTGCACCACGCATACAGCTTGACTGGCAGAATATATTTGCAGAGAGGGCAAGTCCACTTCTCGACTCCGTACCCCGTGACGAGAACGCACTTAGGATCAACTGTTGCTCCGAAAAAGGAAGACATGTGGCGGTGCTGCCCGACCCATTGGCCAATCAAGATTGAGGGGGGAAAACTTCGCCGATCGTCTCTCAACCGGGCGGTGGCGATCTGCCGGGCTAAACCCGACGCGGTCAGGGGTGTTTCAGAGTGGCTCAAAATGACCTCACCGCCTGCCTAAGCAGCTGGATTTCCCCCCTCGGGGATTGCCTCAAGCAGGAGTTATCGTCGGCCAAGATGGCCCATCCCACAAAGCTTGATTGCTTTCTGTCGGATATGAGAGCCATCCCTCAACCATCTTCTTCCTCCCGATGTCCTTCGCCATCCCTGCATCCGGCCCGCCGTCAGCATGAAAGCCCTCCAGGATGAGTACGATCTGGGATATCGCAATCTCGACGACCGGGCGGAACCCTCCACGCGCCCGTTGTCAACCATGCTGCTGCAACCCCGGACGGCCGGATTCTGGGGCGCCGGGTGGGCCTGGGAGATTGTAAGCTGTGTCCTTGCCGTGGCGGCCCTCGTCGCCATCATCGTGGTCCTCTACAACTATGACGGCCAGCCTATCCCGGATTGGCCCTATGGGATCACTCTCAATGCTCTGATTTCGCTCCTGGTGACGGTCATGAAGGCCGCTATGGTCTTTCCTATCACCGAGGGTCTGTCACAGCTCAAGTGGTCATGGTTCAACCGGGGGAATCGACTGAGTGACCTGTCCTTGCTGGACGCCGCCAGTCGGGGAGCGGTCAGCGCAACCTTTGTTCTGTTCCGCTTTCTCCCTCGGTGCGTTACCAAAATTGATTCCGACATCGCATCACTAACAGACACAGTCACTTGGTATCCATGGGGTGCTTCATTCTCGTGGTGGCCGCAGCCATTGCCCCGTTTGTCCAGCAAGTCATCAATACCACCGCCCAGCCCGTTACGGCTCCCGACCAGTCCTCCATCCGCGTCTGCAACACCAGCAGCTATGTCGACTATGGCGAGGGGTCCGGTCCGGGTATGAACAAAGTTCCCCTGTCGACCACCGGAGCCATCTACACCGGCCTTTTCCAGAGTGCAGGTCCCAACAGCAACGTGGTCACAATGACCTGTCCCACCGGGAACTGTACGTTCGCCCCATACCAGTCGCTGGGGTTCTGCAGTCGCTGCGCCAATATCACAGAGGACCTCACGCTGGGCAACACCTCCTCGACGAGTACCATGGCAACCTACAACTACCAACTGCCCAACGGATTCAGCTTCCACACCTCATGGAGCTCGATGTACTTGATGAACGCCACCACCGGTCTGGACCTGATTCGACTGCAGACGGACGACATGCCGCTCATTCTGAATTTCACCACGATCAGCGCCGCCGGCTACGGTGTTCCGCCGCAAATCAGCGCGACCGAGTGCGCGCTATACTTCTGCGTCAGAACCTACGAAGCGGCCATCCAAAGGGGCCGATACAATGAGACGTTGACCTCCACGGCCACCTTATCCAACAGCTCCGCTACGGATATCACTGAGGATCTCACCCTGATGCCCGAGACCTGCTACGTAAACGGGACGCAGCGCCCGAACCGCGACAACTGCACCTACTCGGTCAGCTGGCTCAGCCGGCTGGCCATGTCCAACTCCGTGTCACCGCTGATCGAGGGCCAGGGGTCGCTGTTTGTGAGCAATCGGCCGTATTGGTCGTCGGATACCATGCGTGCGGTGTACGGCGTGGAGGGCAACTATACCGATGTGAACTCGATGTTTCAGTCGTTGGCATCCGCGCTGACCACGCACGCGCGGTCTGCCGTGTGCGCCGCGTCGTTCAAGGGCACCACCTGGACGACCGAGTCGTTTATTCATGTCCAATGGCCGTGGCTAACCCTACCGATTGTGCTGATGGTGCTGACCCTTGCTTTCCTCATCACGACCGTGATCCGTACCCGCAACCAGTTCATCTGGAAGTCCTCGCCGCTGGCGCTGTTGTTCTCGGATATTGCTGTGGAGGCGCCGCACGCGTTCGAGCGCAGTCCAGACCTGAGTCATATGGAGGAGACGTCGCGGAAGATGAATGTGTGGTTGGAGACGACGATGAAGGGGGCAAAACTGAAGGGGGTGGTGGGCTAGCAATCTGTGTCATTGTACAAATATTAATGCATCAATCGGTATACTTGGCCTTAGTGCTGCTTTAACTCTACTTACCCAGGGCAATACCACATCCCTTCGCAGCCAATACCCCTTTTCTGACTACTTGGCAGCGGCTTGGCAAACTGGAGAACCTGTATACAAGATCAGCAGCTGGAGTTTTGCTCAAGTTGGTAAGTCATCTACCCCTTTCTCCGCCTTCTCAAAAATATTCCCACAATCTCCGGTAATTCCCATCCAAATACAACAAACTCAGCACCCGAATACAACCCAGTAAACCTACAATCGAAATATTCTGCGCACTCGCACTCAATTTAGACATTACAACCTATACTACCCCCCCCCCAACCCAACCCCACCTTTAACCATCCACCCCCCCCCTAATACACCCCAATCATCCATCTAACACTGAGCCGTCTCACAATCCACCACCTTCAAATTGGCAGCCATATACTCCGAATTATGCGCCCCATACCAATACACCTCCTTAGCGGGCACATCCCCATAGCCATCAATCGCAAACCAAGCCTTGCCACCATGAGTGAGAAGACCCTGCTCATTCACGCCGAAGCCCGTGGTGTTGGCATTTTTGGGAACGGCTCCGGAGTGCGGGATGGTGAAGGATATGGGCGAGACGCTGTCTTCGATGATATACAGGTTTTGCCAGGCCATCGGGACGGCGTTCTTGGCGAGGTAGGTGAGGGCGCCGTTGGTGCCGGATGTTACTGTTGTTGGTTAGTGGAGGGCTTAGAGAGGGGGGGGGGGGGGGAAAGAAGGGGCGTACGGATGAGCTTCTGGGTGGATTTGGAGGTGTCGTTGCCGATGTAGGCGTATTCTAGTTGGTGTTAGATTGTGATTGTGCTTGGTAGGGGGCAAGGAGGCATACGGCCGTCAGTGAGAACGGGGGCATTGTTGTCGGTGACGAGGGAGAAGCGCGCGGGGAGAGTGGCAGCGGAGACAGCGCTGGCGAGGCCGGCGAGAGCAACGATGGAGAACTTCATTTTGAAGGTTGAAGATTAATGGTAGACGATTGATGCTAGTCTTTGTGTGATGGTTGGTTGAGGTTGATGATGAGGATGGCAAGGGAGGCTGGTCAGTCTTTTATATATTCTTCTCATGGTACTATGTAGTGGCCGTCCACCAGGGATCTGAAGCCATTCCAAAGATGAGACGGTGGACACGCAGTGGAGATTATTGTCGTTCTGGGCGGTTGATCGTCCGGACTATATGAGACATTGTCTTGGTGACCCGCGTGGCGCCGTCCCCGGGTTTGATGCTGCGATGCAACACTAATATAGATATCTGCATCGCAGATATCGTTAGTGTTACAGATCTATATATATAAACTAACTGCAAGGAAATGTAAATTCAAATAAGCTAAGGCGACTATTGTTTGAACTCATAACTTCCCTTCCATACTCCTTTCCAGAGGCAAAGGGATATATATCTATTTCCGGCGCGCCGTTGATCGGCCCGTTGTTTCAGATGATCTTCTCCAGGCCTACCCCTTCTGTACAATAACCTTAATTCCCCCTCTAAGAAGGCTGAAGATCGGGGCTGATCGGAATAGTGCGTCAGAGTGGTACCAGAACAGCCACCTCGTCACTGGGATCCATCGTGCGGAGTGACGGCAGAGGTCCACAACGCCAAGGGTATCAGCTCACTCTGAGACCTTGTGACGTTGGATTTCAGGTATTCTTGTTCCATCGCTGTTTATGGCAGTTTGTCCGGTCGTGGTATGATGTTGATCGAGGCAGCGATTGTCTGCACTGAGACATACTCAGATGTGGCTGTGTTGGGGTTATTCAACAATTCTCGCAGGAGATAAAGAGAAAGAGTACTTGCAATTCCGCATCAGTATAATTCATACTTTGGGAAAAAAAAGAGGACAAATGTGGTAACGATAGACACAACCGACTCTGCTGCTTATACCCGTGTCGGATATGTTGTGACTGGCAACAAATCCTCCATGAGACGGGAGGGTGTCTGAGTTAGATCCTTGGCTTCCCTGGCCAAGAGACCTGCTGGGTCTCTGAGACAAGTCCAACCGACATTGGCAAGACAGCCGGATGCTCTTGGCCTCAGGGGAGGTGGACTAGCGTAGCAAGACCGTATAGCTTGGCGACCTGAGTGTGTTCCCCCGAGAGAGTTGAGAGGCGATGTGCAATACCTACCCACAGCAGCCCTAATTCCTCGGGGCTACGAAAGAGCTACCGGCAAGACACTCGAACAGATGTAATAGCCCCTGGTGAAGCCATCTCAGCTTCTCAACTGGTTGAGGAAAGGGTAACTTCGATTAGCGACCGTGGCAGCTTCATGCCTCGGCTAACACGGATGACTGGGCAGACATGGGGGCTCCCATCACTGATAGTTGATATGCAGAACTAGCAAACTTGCTGCAGCCTGAGCAATTCATGCCCAAAGTCTCCCGGGTAAGTTGTTCGATGCTATTTCTTGTCAAGCTGTGCGGCGCAACCAAACGTACGCCTGATCGATAGACTACTGACGGATACGCAGTCAAAAGGTAGCATTCGAGATAATCGTAACAAACAACCATTGAGTATATCTACGACCGTACGACACTCCAAGCCACATCACTGTCTCCCTGTTATCAGATGCACCAATGAACATGAGACAACTCGCCGTCTGCGGGGGAGATAAGCCGACGGACATGATTGGAATTGGCCTCCGCGACCTGCAGCTCCAATGGCACCGTGGCATCGATGCAAGTAGCTGCAAGGTTCCGTCTGAGCGGGGATGACAAGGGCTGTCAGCAAAGCTCTCTTTGCAATAGGACGGCCTTTGCAGGGTTGGCCTCGCTTAAAAGCTCGGGGAATTCCTTTCGAAATCTAGGTCCCGGGCCACCTTTTGGGACTTCACAGTACCCAGTAACAGAGTCGTGCAATATGAGGAGAAAAGACACCACAAATCGCCTACCAAATGGTCTCTTCCTTACTGCGGCCCTGGCAGCCATATTACCCCTAGTGTATGGCTCCATCGAGCGACCCAGCCTCCTGCCAACACCGCCCATGGGGTTCAACAATTGGGCCCGCTTCATGTGCGACCTCAACGAGACCCTATTCACCGAGACAGCCGATGCAATGGCATCCAACGGTCTGCGCGACGCCGGATACAATCGCATCAACCTGGATGACTGTTGGATGGCCGATCAGCGCGCCGACAATGGATCCCTCCAATGGAACACGACTAAATTCCCTCACGGCCTCCCGTGGCTCGGAAACTACCTCAAAACCAAAGGATTCTACTTTGGCATCTACGAAGACGCAGGCAACCTGACCTGCGGGGGATACCCGGGCTCGTACCATCACGAGGAGTTGGATGCCAACACGTTCGCCTCCTGGGGCGTCGACTACGTCAAGGTCGACGGCTGCAACGTCTACGCGATGCACGGCAGGACCCTCGAAGAGGAATACAAACACCGCTACGGACACTGGAACGTAGTTCTCGACCGCATGGAACATCCCCTCATCTTCTCCGAGTCCGCCCCGGCCTACTTTGCGGGCACCGAAAACCGCACAGACTGGTACACCGTGATGGACTGGGTTCCCGTGTGCGGAGAGCTGGCGCGACACTCGACCGATATTCTTGTCTACAGTGGAGCCGGCAGTGCATGGGATAGCATCATGAATAATTACCACTATAATACCCTTCTGGCGCGCTATCAGGCTCCAGGGTACTTTAACGACCCGGACTTTCTCATCCCCGACCATCCAGGCTTGACGGCGGATGAAAAGCGGTCGCACTTTGCACTCTGGGCCTCGTTTTCGGCTCCGCTAATCATCAGTGCTTATATACCAGCGTTGTCGAAGGATGACATGGCCTATCTGTCGAATAAGGCTCTGATTACGGTGGATCAGGATGAATTGGCGCAGCAGGCTACGTTAGCCAGTCGCGACGATACGCTGGATATATTGACCCGGAGCCTGGCGAATGGTGACCGATTACTCACAGTGCTGAATCGGGGGAACACAACCGTAAAGACTGATGTCCCGATCGAGTGGCTAGGCCTCACCAGGACTGGCTGCACGTACACCGCAGACGATCTATGGGACGGCAGCGTCCAGAAGGTCAGCAGTCACATCGCTGTTCAACTAGCAACACACGCAACAGTGGTCTACCGAATCAGTCTACCAAAGGCGTGCTCTGCAGTCGTGCCAACCGGCCTTGTATTCAACACAGCATCAGGGCACTGCTTAACGGCCAGCTCAAGCTCGGTCACGTTCCAGTCTTGCAGCGGACAAACCTCGCAGATATGGCAGGTCACATCGTCTGGTACCATTTGTCCACTTTCGTCTACCGGACAATGTTTGGCTGCTGATGGCGATGCGGTGAAACTGCAAGCCTGCGATAAGAGCGGGAGTGACGCTCAGAAATGGACATATGCCGTTACAGGAAATCTGAAGAATGTAAACACGGGTGGCTGTTTGACGGAGGGGCCGGTGCAGTTGAAGACGTGTGGTGATGAAAGGAATAGCCAGGTCTTCGGTCTGCCGAGTGGTGTTCAGCTGTCGTCGGGGGCTTAAGAATAGACCAACATATGTAGTGCCACGCCAATATGGCTTCCTTAGGGCTGTGGAAGATGAAATGCTAGGCTAGTCCACATTACCGGCGTGAATGGTACAGTTCTATAGAACCGAACAGAACAACAGGGCGAGTCTAGTACAGCCAAATGGAATGAACACAGGACATCTATTCCGATCTCATAACCCTATTTCAGCCCCTCAGCCATGGCCCCATTAATCAACGACAAAAAATACACCAACCAATACGCCGTCAAAATATAAAACACCTTATACGTCCTCTCATCCCCATCCGGCGACGTCCTCTTCACACACCTCACACCAACCACCACCGCCCCAAACAAATGAAACACCCCCGTCAGCACCAACCCAACTCCCCTGAAATCAGCCGGAAATGTCTTCAAAAACCGCACCCACCCCCACCCAACCACCCCTAACCCACCACCAATAATCAGCGCCGCCGTTACCCATCTCAACACCCTCATACCAGACCCAGTACACACCACCGGCAGCGTCCTCCGCCCTATCTTCCGATCACCATCCACGTCATGAAACTCCTGGATGTGAATCGTGCTGAGAACCCATAGCGAGAGAATGATATCTATCTTCGGATGAGCCGACAACTGTGGATACGTCTCACAGATAATACTATCCAGCAACCGAAACGAGAAGAACGTCCACAGAGCGGGGAATATATTCCGGAATATCCAGTGGTCGAGGCGAGGATAGACGTAGTATATGCCGATCAGCACCTCCGAAAGGAGGAATATAACCAGCGCTTGAGTGTTCAGAAATGTATAAATGATGGCGGGGGAAAGTGTCCAACTAATCAACCATCTCCACTTCGCTGCCGCCAAGCGAAGTCGACCAGCTGGAATCGGCCTGTGTGGTTTATTAATCCTGTCCTCGTCGACGGAGGTAAGTTGGTTGACGATATCCCAGGAGTATTGGTGACATGTGGAGATGAAGAGGACTTTGGTGAGTGTTTGGAGTAGGGGCAAGAGGGAGAGTTCGGGTGGTGGGAGGAGTCGGGTGCAGGCGGCGGAGAGGTAGAGGAGGACGCCGGCGCCGAGGTTGGATTTGAGGAGGTGGTAGGTGGTTGTTGATTCGGTGGTGAGGAGGGATAGGAGGGTTGATGTTTGGGTTTTGATATTGGGTGGGATTAGGTCGGTGTATATGGTGGGTGAGGTTGGGGGGAGACTCTTCATTTTGTGAGCGATAGAGGGTTAGCAATACGATTTGCTATCAGGGTATGTTTGAGGTGTTCTTGAAGCAAGTTTCAACTAGGTAGGGTGCATTGTGCAGGGGTTTATATATAACTCCAACCGGCTAAGCTATCCGCTGTCTAACGGACATTATCCGAATGCAACAACCTCAACCATCACCCAAGGAATAAACAAAAGCTTGTCCAGATCTTGATTCCAGTCAATAATCACATAATGTGACGGTAAGCGGGACGCCTGATTCTGCGTCACAGCTATCAGTTGCAGAAATGCTTACCAGTTATAGTTTAGCGCGGAGTGCCTAACTGCACATCTCACTCATTGTGGCCGTATCAATCAGATTACGTGATTTGATAGTGGATATACCTCTTGTTTTTCTTCATGTTGCCTATCACATTAACGCGCTGAAGGATTCCGGGTTATCCGATCAGCACCTGTTCTAGTGTAGTGGTGTATCTGGTCTAGGCCTTTTCTGTTCGCCGACTTCGCCGGTGTCAGATCGAGATATGAATAGTTATCACGTATCCCTGTTGGGTTTATCATGCATGGTGGCGTTTCGGCTGTACTTGGGCTTATGACTGCGCCGCGTGATTATAAACACTCATTCTGATTATATCTGGGAGTTCACAACATAACTAAACAAACGCTAGGTATTCCCAAAACTGCTATACATTACTTCCCCCAGATGGCATCTTACGGATGAAGGGAAGATATAGCCAAAACCCTCTCAGACGACCCCACCATGAACACGATCTTCCCTCACTCCCCGAGAAGGCGGGATACGGACTCAAACTTCGCTTCTCAACAGCCTGCTCCATCACCGTCGCCTGCTTGGGCATATCTGGCCAGCGTAGAGCAAAATAGCCCCCTCGGCCGGCTGCCAAATCCTCTGGTATCCATTCGCCGAGAATCTGGCCGAATCGAATAGCGTCTCGTACAACCCTGGCCTTGGTCACTAATATACCCGGGTGTCCTGCGAGCTGAAAAATGCAGTTATGCCATGGAGTGGGGATATGTAAAAGGTCCGGCGACGCCTGAGAGAAATCCACACTCGCCAGATCATCCACGCTGCCAACCACCCGGGTCGAGGCACGATCGAAGAGACAGATGCCGAATTTAGGACCGGAGTTGACATGGGAATGGATTGAAAGTCGGATGAAGTGGGGAAAGAAGAGCTCGACAAGGTTGGAGTAGGCCTGGTTGCGTAGCATCATTTCGAAGGACACCTTTTCAGCCAGCTTTTTGCGTTGATTTCGTGAAAGACCCTGGGTATTTGACTGTTGCTGAAGATCCTCGAACATGAAGCGGGAAACGCCGCGGTATAGGGCTAGGATTGAGGGATCCTGAGCCGCGATCTGACTGCGCAGTGTATCAGCGCTGGTCTGACAGGCCTGCATTAACATTTGGCGGCAGAGCTCGGACTCGGTGGAAATTTTCGTGCCAAGGTAATGCGGCAGTGGCTGCAGGTCGAAACGTGGGCAGTCGCTGAGCAGGTCAGGCAAGGCCAGAAAGGTGATGCGGTTGGAATCAGAGCCGCCAATGACGCGGTTGAGTTCCTGCAGTCGGGCCCCGTATTCGTCCACCTGCTGGTCGTCGACTCCAACTGGATGCGTGGTTATTACATATATGTCTCGGTTAGATGGCGACAACTCACTGCAATCACTGAAGACGTGTCCATCGCTGATAATGCAGATGGATGCCCCGGGCGGGTAGATTTCTTGCATCTGATGCAGGACATGATGCAGGCGGCGCAAGGCCAACTCTTCCCCGCGATCCGGGGCATGACAGCCAACTTTATCAGGGTTCGAGGATTTGCAGGGAAAGGCTGGGAGGCACATCAAGACGGGCAGTTGGCGGGCCGTGAAGAACGATATTTTCTCCAGCATCTGGACTCTCCCCTTCGACTGCCACTGTGAACCGGGAGGCTGAAAAAGAAGCTCATTCTCGCAGACATCCGCCAAACGACTTGCAAGCGGTTCGGGATGGCAGCATGCTGGCATCGCAAGTTGGCTGGCGTATCGCTCCAGGTGTGTGAGGAGTAACCGGGCAAAGACCCCGTCCAACTCGGGCAGATCACTGGTACCGTGTACGATCACTCCCAGAACCTGCTGCTGCCCGTGCAACTCATACACAGAGACGGGCATCCCGTTGCAAAACACCGAGGACAGCACGCACCATGAGTCCGTTGGCTTTCGTGAGACAAGCAATGGTCGGATGGTCAGCCACACTTCTTTCACGCTGGCAGAATCATGTCCTAGGCATCGGAGCAAGTCGCCCTGGTGGGATCGTATGTAACAGGCCACTGCCCGGGCGTAAAAGGCGCTGTCTTCCATGGGTAAGTGAAGATAAACCGACCTAGATGCGTCAGGTTATAGGGTAATTAGGGGTAACAAATAGATGCGCTGACTACCTAGTGTTGCAGGGTTGCAGCCGCTGGACCCTGTGAGGCAAGCCCTATAGCCCACACTTCTAAATGGTCGGAGGAACGGGATGGAAGTCTCAGTCAGGCTTGGTTGACGCAACCAATCTATAAAGGAGGTCCAAGGACAAAGCAATGGCACAGTGTTTTTCATCTCCCGGATGCTGCTTCCTCATTAGCTCGACCACCAGCGCCATGTTCTCATTGGCCCTTGTACTCATCTTGTCTCTGGTCGGACTGTACCAACACTATCTAGCCCCGCCTCGTCAACCTCATGGCATCGGAGCCGTGCCGTTCTGGGTAACATTGTTACCCCTGGTGATGGACGTCGACCAGGAGAGACTCTTCCGCCGCTACATCGCACCACGGTTACATGACAAGGGAGCTGTCAAAATCTTCTTCGGGGGGCAGTGGAACGTGCTCGTACAACGTCCAGAATTTGTGGCCGAGGTACTAAGGCAGGAACAGATTTACCACAAAAGCGGCAATCAGAAGAAGATTCCCTACAGTGTGCTGGCTGAATTTCTCGGTAGGAGTCGCACCACCGTTCCTTCCAATCCTGAGCGCATAATTGAGCAGATTTCTTCTAGGATCCAACATCATCTCGGCACGTGGCGAGGAATGGCGACAATATCGCGCTGTGATTGGGCCCGGCCTGACAGGAACATTTGACGTCGAGCCCATGCTGGAGCGTGCAAGACAGCTGTGCTCCATCCTTGTCGGGCTCCAGGGGGGTCAGGACCCTCGTGGGGTTTTTGTGCAAGAGCCCCTCCAGCGGTACTCGAGTGCGAACCTTTTGCATTTCGTCCTTGGCCAACCCCAATTGGCCCAGAAAATGATGAGCCGCGAACCAGTCCCTCTCCACCAGGTCCAGCTCACCCTGAAGCGATACCTATTCCAACCCCTCTACATGAGCTTCCCGGTCCTGGATCGCCTGAGCTGCATCATCCCGTCCCGCCGAAGGGCGCGCCAATTGGTGCGAGAATTCGCCGCCATGCTCCAGGCGAGCATCCTGCAAGGTGACGGACGGGATGGCAGTGCAGGAACCCACCTAATCCATGCCTGGCAAGACGGATTACTCACAGACCGGCAGTTCCGCGACAACCTGATGGTTCTGTATGTGGCTGGACAGGAGAATCCTCAGCTGCTGATGATCTGGACGCTGTACCTCCTCGCCAAGTACCCAGTAGGTCCCGGCATGCCATTGACCAAGCCCACTGCTCGTTAATAATGTTTATAGAACGTCCAAGCCCGATTACGAGAGGAGATTCGGTCTTCCGGCATACTGGTGGTTCCACGCCCGGACTGGACGCGCTTGCCCTACCTGACCGCCACCATCCTTGAATGTCTCCGCCTCTTCCCTCCCATCTCCCAATTAATCAACCGCCGCGTATCCCAGCCCACTCAGTTGGGAGGGCACCTCAACCTGCCAGCGGGCACCTACGTCGGCTACCACAGCTACGCCACCAACCGGGACCCCGAGGCGTGGGGGCCCACGGCCAACGACTTTGAGCCCACGCGCTGGGGCGTAACCCATGAGCAAATTTCCCAAACCTATCGCCAGATGAAAGCCCGAGCGGCGTTCATTTCCTTTCACGGTGGGGCACGCGCGTGCCTCGGAGAGAAGTTTGCCATGCTGGAGATCCGAACGATGCTATTCGTATTGATCCACCAATTGCAGTGGAGGTTGGATCCGGACTGGAAGGATCAAATGGCGCCAGTGAGTGTCCCCCCATACCCGTTCTGGCTGTGGCTCAACGTCTCGAGACCTGGCGGCGTTCGTATAGGTTGCCGGGGGAATGTTGGGCATGATTTGCGTTCTGGTCTGACTCGTCTCGGTGTTCTAGGCGGGACCACTCCATCCTCGTGGCTTACGAGTAGTGTTCAGTCCGTGCGAGGATTGATTGCTAGTGCTGAGCCGGTCAGAAGGAGCAAGCGAGACGTACCTTGGGGGAGTGGGCCCGTGTGTTAACGCTAGAGGGAATTTCTCCTTGTTTGGTTCCATGGCATGGCCTGGAGAGTGTTCTGTATGCCTGCTGCACATGCAGTGTTGTCGGGTTGGTTCCAGCCCTAATTGCTATGCTGGCCTCCTGCACTCACCTAGACAATATACTCATCCAGTCATGTACCGATCGCCGTCGGTCTGGTAGTGATGTTGATAGTAAACTCGACAATTCTGTCTCTTCTGCGCGCAGCCTCATGCTGTGGCGCTCAAGTAACCCATGTATTCTCCGGCTGGTTACATTCCGATCTCTCCCCAATCTCGTATACCATTCCCAAGTCTGGCTGAGGAGTCTGTCTACCCCCATTGACTCTTTAACCTGCTTCTCAAACTCTACCATTGGCCGAACCAGCTCAACAGTGGCTCCAAGTATTCAATTAGTAACTAAGCCGTAGTGCATCCCCAGAATGTAACTACCCAGCACCCCATCGTAAACACTCCTCACCAAAAACCCATATCCCATCACCCCCCGAATCCCACACGAACAACCCCAGTATAATCCCACACCAACAACCACCATTCTCCCCACCCTTCCACCCCTCACAACCCCAACGGCACCCTCGCCTGCATCAACCCCCTCCCCATATCCACCCAAACATAACACCCCAACCCCACGACCATCAACAACAAATTCGGAATCATCGGAAAGCGCAAATTATGCGTCCGATCCTGAATAACCCCCATGACGAGGGGATTAATCCACCCCGTCGCCAAATCCAACGTAATCTCAAGCCCAAAGAACTGCGCCTCGGCGTGCTTCGGAATCAACGATGAATAGATGGCCCGATTATACGCCCGCAAGGCACTACTACTCGACATGAACAGGACCTGTTCGATCCAGAATTCCACCTGGTGTTTATATCCGATAGGAACGTGGGGGTTGATGCCGAGACAGCCCCAGAGGACGCAGAGGATGTTGATGGTGAGGAGGACATATGCCCAGGATTTCACTGGGAGATGGACGCGCGGGTAGAGGAAGAGAAAAGTGAGACTACCCGTGCAGGCGAAAATCACGCTCGTGAAGGACCAGACGGAGTAGACGCCCGAGCTGCGGGAGAAGCCGGTGACTTCGAGGAATAAGGCGGAGACGAGGGTGAGGTGGTTCGTGTAGCCGGTGTTCCACAGGACCCAGCCGATGCAAAGCTTGAAGGCTTCGGAGTAGTGGGGGGCGTGGCGGAGGAGGCGGAGCCAGTTACGGAGGGGGAGGGGGAGGGCGTCGCGTTTATGCGCTAGGGGTTTTCCTTGGATGTTGGGGAGGAGGATGTGGCCGAGGATGGCGAATAGGACTATCCGAATGGAGGTGGAGGGTTAGTTGGGAGGTGCGGTCATGAGGAAGGGGTGGGGGGCTTACTGGTGATGCAGCCGGCGATGGTAATGGCGAGGAGGTAATTGAAGTATCCTACTTTGACGTAGGAACCTCGGCCGTAGACGAGGATGACGCCGATGATTAGAGCCATGAGGGCGCCGACATTGCTGGCGACGAGGGCTAAGACACTGACGGAGACACCCTTCTGCCAGATCTTGCCTTCCGGGCTGGCGTCGCTGCGGCCCACGATCGAGGTTCGGAACCAGCCGGTGGAGCGCATGAAGATGGGGATGTAGGAGCCTTCGATGACGGTGTAGATGCCTTGGACGGTGGTGAGGCAGCAGTACAGCACGGCCAACGCAGTGAGATGGCTGTAGGTCTGGGCGGTTAGGCCGGCGAATGGGAGGGCTAAGACGCCAAAGAGGAAGATGGAGGACATCATCATGGTCTTGCGGTAGTCTGAGGCAGATTTAGTAAGTATGACTTGAAGGAGAGTCGATTGCTCCCAGTACGTACCAGAATAGTCGGCAATACCTGCGGTGAATATAGCCAGGACGCCCTCGGTGGCCCTCGCAATGGCGCGGAGGTATAATCTGCTGCTGTTAGGAACAAGCTGGCCCTATGCCTCTGGATGTTTGCTAAATCTCACGTGTAACTGGCATAATCAATTTCACCGGCACCAAATTTCACCAAGCAACTGATGTTGGTGCCCCGGGTGGAACACGGCTTGTTGGATCCTGCTTGGTGCCCTAGAGCATTGGCAGCAGACAGGATGGCCGCGGATGCATACGTTGTAGACATTCCGGATGTCGGTCCGGTCTGAGAAGATCTCGTCAGCATTGCTATTGTTCTTCCGTTGATGGTATGGCTGATGCTGACCGAGAAGCAGAGAACAAGGAACCCCCAGAGGGCGCGCTTGGAGTTGAAGCGACCATGGCCTTGCGACGGGTCGTTGGCTTCCACCTCGTCGGAGACAACGGCTTCCCGGGCCCCCAAAGTCTTAGGGCTGGTACTGTGTTCGAGCACGGATCCACGCTCTTCACAAGATTCAGGGTTCTGGGACATGATGGGCACTCGAAAGGTAGCTAACACTAGGACTGAAAACAGTCCATGAGCCGCCCGGTGGTGCGTTGATAGACAGCGTAGATGTTGGTTTACGCGCCACTCCCCGGTCAAATGCGGTGGAAACCGCTCTACGCAGGCTTCGCTAAATGTATACTTTGCCAAGCTGCATCCTAGCGAGCAACTGAGGTGATTTGAGCCATTTCACCCAGGGCAAGCACGTGCAGGACCTTGGAGGCAGCTGAGAGAATATGCGCAAATTATTAGCCGCAGGATGCGGTCCGCTTCATGCGGGCTTCGGGTCGCCCCACTTGGGGTGGAATATTCCACTGGACCAACTAGTAAATGACTGTGCTGTGGGTGACATCTGTCTTTCTATTACAAGACCAGTAGACTCTGCACGAGGCGAGAGTCAGGCTCAAGAGTGACCGATCGGATAGGGGTTAGGGCTCGTGCCAAGACGAGGCATTCCCAGCATGTCCGACCAGCGCAAGCTGCCCCAAGTGCAGCAGCAACCCCAGCCATACACTGTCCTGTCGGAAGGGAGACAGAGACTCGTTCTGGGCTTGATCACGGTTGCGGGTGTCTTTGGCCCTCTGGCGGGCAATATCTATCTGCCCGCCTTGCCAGTCCTGGAGCATGCATTTCATGTCACCAAGACCGAGATTGATGTGACAGTCACGGTTTTTATGGTCGTTTTTGCTTTTGGAGTGAGTTGTTCCTGTAACGTGATATCCCTTACATTCTCTCATACTCAGTAGCCCTTGTTCTGGTCCGGCTTCGCGGACCGCCGCGGACGACGACCGTTATACCTGATCTCGATCTTGATTTACATCGGGGCGAATGTCCTACTGGCAGCCTTGCCCGCTAACTATGGCGCCTTGATCGTTCTTCGACTCCTACAGGCATTTGGATCATCGGCTGTCGTCTCGATGGGCGCGGGGACTGTGGCGGATGTGAGATTCTCGCCCCAAACCCCTTGTTTTTCACTTGCTATTGACGCTGTTGACTGTCATCAAGCTAACAGGGCTCACACTGACTGGTGGCAGATCGTCGAACCCAAAAAGCGCGGTCGAGCAATGTCCTACTTTCTCTTCGGACCACAATGTGGCCCGATCATAGGGCCCTTGCTGGGAGGGGCCATCGCGGGAAACACCTCCTGGAGATGGATATTCGGGTTTCTCAGTACGTCTTCATCCTCCGGCCATTGGCGTCTAGAGACTGACTAATGTAACCACGCCGCAGCAATTTCTGGCACAGCACTATGGCTCCTCCTCCTCCTGTACCTCCCAGAAACCCTCCGCGCCCGGGTCGGCAACGGCAGTCTCTACGAAGGCAAAAGCTGGATTCTCTGGCCTCCTCGGTGGACATGCCCGCCAGCTCCGGAGCATGAACGAGGACCACTCCCTCCGAAGCCCACCTTACGAGGATACTGGCGTCTATTCTCCTACCCCCCGATTGGGATCGCCTGCATGAACACCGCGCTGCTGTACTCCTCCTATTTCTGCATCGCCATCCAACTCCCCACAGCCCTCCAAGACGTCTACCACTGGTCGACCAGTGCCGTTGGCGCGGGGTATGTCGTCGTCGGCGTGGCGATGGTAATAGGCTCTCTGGCAGGGGGCCGGTTCTCGGACTGGCAACGGAGGCGGCTGGTCCAGAGGGTCGGCGAGGACAAGGTGACACCTGAGTCACGTCTAGGTGATCAGATCTGGGGTCTCGGAGTCGCCTCGGCGGGGCTTATTCTGTTTGGGTTCTTTGTAAGGGATGCTGTGCATCCGGCTGCCACGCTCATCTCGACTTTCTTTGGTCAGCACCCTCATCCCCAACCCCCCAAGCCCTAAGAAAAAAAGCAGAGTGGCAACTAACACAATTGATGCAAACAGTCGGCTTCGGCATGTCCTGGATGTTCGTCGCCTCGAATGCCTTTTTGACCTCGTGCGTGGCTCATCAAGCGGCTGGCGCCTTTGCCTTGGGGAATATGCTGCGCAGCCCCGGGGCTGCGGTCGCTGCGGTGGTGATTGGGCCGTTGATGCAGAAGATGGGATGGGGATATTGTTTTCTAGGGTTGGGGTTTTTGAATCTGATTGGGGTCGGGGGCATGTTGTTGGTGCTAAGGACGCAATCGCCTCGTTGGCGGAGGGAGAGAGAGATGAAGATGACGAGGAGTTGATGACGAGGGGTGGTCGTGTTGCTTGCGATTCGCATTTATGTTTCGGTAGTTTCGGGTCAGTATCGCTGTCTGCGAGGTTAGTCGAAATTTCCTCTCTATATTGTTATACCCGTCGTCAGTATGTATGGGCATGGAAGACGTTGGATGAAACATGATGGACGAGCTTCACTGGGCGGCTATGAGTTGATGGGTCAGATAGAACGCAAGATCAAGACTCCTAATAGATTTCTCAACACAACAATTTAACTTAGGTATGCTCTAAATCTAGAAGTCGAACAGGCCTGATATCTTTGATTGATTCTGTCTAAGAGCTCACAATTCGTGCTCGTGTATAATGTCATCGTTGAGACGCAGAGTTCGGTGGCTGCGGATACATCGTACATAGCACTGAACGGACAGACAAGATTGATAGGCAGCCGCGAGCAACATGATAAAACAGACAAAAGCCGAGTACGGCGTGGGATGTTATATGTCCTTGCCGTCCAGCACAGGTATATCTTAGTTGTCTATACATCCCTGCGTATCCGTGTCCTGCCCAGACTCTACCCCCGGTATCCCCTCACTGTCGTTAATGGGAAGTCAGTAAAGTCCTGCATGCTCCTCCATACCAACAATTAAACTTAGCAATCCACCCCAGCACATCTCAAGCCCCACCAAAGGTACAATAAGGCAGCATCTCCCGATAAACCAGCGCCTCCTGCCCCGTCACCCCCAACCCACTAGGATCTCTCTTGAGCAGAAACCTCTCAACTTGAATCCCTAATCCCCCCAGTCCCGCAGCCCGACTCCGACGCCGATCCAGCAATCGCTGAGACTGGACATGGACCTGCCTCGCGTGCATCTCAGCCTTCTGGGCCCGGACGACAAATAGACAGCTCTGGAGGAAGAAAGCGATGACGAGGAATAGGATGACTAGGCGCGGATGCGGGAGAAGATTCTCTCCCTCCGTCCCGTGGCTGGTAGCATGGTTGGGATGTCTAGAGACACGAGCCGTGCGTGGGGGACCCTGTCCACGCCATCCCACCCCATAGCGGTCATACGCGAGGCGTTTCTGGGGATTAGAGAGGAGTTCATGTGCCGCGACGACGAGGCGGTAGCGATGTTCGCGGATTGTCGGGGAGAGATCAGATGGGACGGTTTGGTATCGGTCTGGGTGGTAGAGCTTGACTAGTTTGTAGAAGGCGGTTTTGGTATAGGGGTCTCTTGGGTGGAGGCCGAGAATACTGTACGGCGTTAAGTCTAATGGTGATGGCCAGGGCGGGAAAGAGGGTTGTTGGGTATGGTTGGGGTTGGCGTCGCCGTGGAGAGGTCGGATGGAGGGGCCGTGAATGGATGCGCGTCGGGAACGAAGGGAGAGGTGGCTGGATGTGAGGATCGTGGAGAGTGGGAGGGTTATACGTATTTCCATACTCTTTGGTGAGAGTGCGGGGATGATGGGAGGCGGGATTCGGCCTGATCCTTATAGATGCGAGGAGGGCTGGAAGTACAGCATGTAAGTATCGGACCTTGGTTGAAGCACAATCTTGGGTATTTACGGCGCTACGGTCGCGAAGGACATAGATGGTGAACACCCACTCTAGCGACAATGCAGGTTATGCAACGCGATCAACTGCCATTCCGACATTAGTTGCGAGGGTTTGAGGGGTTTTGGCAACCCCTTGTACAACAGCATATGTATCAGCGAGCGAACAGCTGCATGGATGAAACAGCTCATGCAGGTGAGCGGATTTGCGCGCATATCTCGAGCGATTAGATCCATGATGAACAATGATACTAACGTTTCTGCTCTCGGCTCAGGCCAGACGAACGTGTCTATCATCTTCTGTAGTCGCACGCGTATAACCCCTCTTTCTCCTCAGTCGTACCTGGATCCCGGCGATCTACACTGATTGTTTATGCCGCATCCATACCCGACCGCAGGATTTATGCTCAAGTTCTGAAAATCGGGTTGTTTCCTAGACTATGCTCAAGTGAATAACGACAAGGATAATCGTTTTGACATCCTGAGCAAAGGCCGGGGCAGAAGTAGGAAGAGGGTGGGAAGAGGGAAAATGTTTTTGTTCTAGGTAGTCAAGCTAGTTGTGATAGATCGAGTAGGAAAGATATCAGAATCATGCATATTATTCATGCGATGGCCTTGTGTTTTCAGGGGGTTGATCGAATAACAGTAGCTCTAGTACGAAGCAGGCCGGACGTTATGCTAGTGTGTTCCATGTAGGCGAGGATCTAGAATGCAATAAGCTCGAGTCTGATATAGCTTTCCCTGACAACGTGGTGAGTTCGCCACAATTCACAGCGGGAATGTAATATTTCACGAAAAGTTAAGATCAGAAGTCATTAGGAACATGAAGGAATAGAACCTAAATGAAATGGGCATGGTTATGAGATACATTCCTGTGGCGCGGGACCTTCTCCTAGACAACCGACTACCGGAGTGCCTCTCTATGTTCAGTTTGTATGACCTCGCTTTATATCGACCTGAGAATAGAATAGCAGACATGAGACACTCTATGTACGACAAGTAACAGTTTATTTACACGAAGTGCAATTAAGGTCATCGTTGCCCCCGCCAACACTTTCGATGCTATCCCCACAGATTTGACACCTGACATGAGTCACGTAGGACAATTTTGTGGATAGCCCACATTCCTCGGCATTTCCTCAATCATGGACCCACGATTTGCAGGTAGCTGCTCATCGACGGAACAGTCAAGAGATTAATCGGCACAATTAGACTTTGAACCGTTTGCAAAGGAGCTGAGATTGCTTCTTAAAATAATGCCTTTGTCCATGTCTTTATCAGCGAGCATTCCGGGCGGTTGGGGACTTGACATCCCGAATATTGGAATGTGAATGAAGAAAGATACTACGAGGCCAAGAAAATCGGCTAGGGGTAAACGTTAATATAAAAGGCAGCGTATGTTCACTGCCCTGACAACCAGCTCGCGCATCCGAAGCAATCCTATCGATCGAAAACATCATGGTTTCCTTCAAGGCTGTTCTGCTTACGATGATTCCCGCGGTCGTGGCGCAGAACCAGACCCAAATTGTATGCTCAGCCCCAATGTTCATTACCCCCCATTCCTCCACATGAAAGACCCCAACCGTTGCCTGAGTGACCCCCACCAAGAACTAACCAAATACTAGGGCAGCACGACGGAATTCCGAGTCTGTTCCGTGGATCCGACGCCAATCTACGCCGAGACATGCATTGCACTTAACGAAACCGGGTATAGTACCTGCTACGGAGAAAACGCCAGAAAACCCCACACTAACATCACCAGGGCTACCAACATTAGCATTGCTGTTGGCTGTCGTCAGTATAGGTAGGTACGTGCTAGATTCTGGGGAAAATATGATGAATTAATGGGTTTCCGCTGCAGCAATACTGAATGTACCGGAAGCTACAACACGGGAGGGTATCGCCCGGGATGCTATCAAAATAGCCGGTTCATTCAGACCCTTGGGACGATAAGTGGGGCGATCTTCTGCTTTCCTTCCTGAGGGGTCAAGGATGTGATTGAATGGACGATGGTTTAATGGTGCATGATCAATTTGTGGGGCACGGAAAACACTAGTCCATAGGGTTTACAACATGCAATAATTTGACCATGAGATGGTTCTCACTAGAATTTTATGATCCACTGACCAGGATGTGATAGATGACTGCGGCTGTCGAACTGTATACTATGTAAAAGCAGAGATTCTTCCCTGCCCCGGGTCGTTCCCCATCATAAACAAGATTGCCATGGAAGCCGACAACTGACTGGCATAAATCGAAAATTAACAACGAGCCAGATGACCAAATCGTTGGACCCTCGACACCCCGAGAGAAGCGAAAAAAATGTCCTGGTTGCCTAGGCGAGCCCCACCATGCCAACCGACTATTGGCGTGATGATGCCGATCTGGCCGGGAGATGGGGCTGCCGATGCTTGTTCACCGCGCTAGTTTAGGGCATCGCTTACACGCGAGGTTCCAGTCTTGAGCATGGCTCCGTCGGGAATACTCCGAACCGCGCAGCATCATTTAATTGTCAAGATAGTTTCTGAGATGTAAATCAAGACCGGCAGAAGTGGCGTGATTTGCGAGGGGCAGGTAGCAAACGGTGTCGCTGATCGGCACGCCGTCGGACTCCGGGGCGGAATCAGGGTTGCGACCCATTCTTATCACGACAGCCTGTCTGGGGTGCGTTTGCAGAACCGTTGGACCTATCACACCTTTCGTCAAGCCCCATCGGTCTAAATTAGCCCAGCCTGGCCCTCTCGTGTGCTTGCAGCAGCACGATGATGTTATTGCCCCCTCCGATAAGCAAGGGCGGCTAATTTCCGCCTGCGCCTTATAATCCCCGCCTGCCTCCGGGGTCAGGTTGACAGACCAGCCTCGTGCCATCTCCATCATGCGTTCCTCCGGTCTCTACACAGCTCTGCTGTGCTCTTTGGCCGCCTCTACCAACGCCGTTGTCCATGAAAAACTCGCTGCTGTTCCCTCGGGCTGGCATCATCTGGAAGATGCTGGTGCCGATCATCAGGTCAGCCTGTCTATTGCGCTAGCCCGCAAGAACCTCGACCAGCTCGAGTCCAAGCTGAAGGCCGTCTCGACTCCCAGGGAAGCTCAGTATGGTCAGTGGCTCGACCAGGAAGATGTGGACACGCTGTTCCCAGTGGCCAGCGACAAGGCCGTCATTAGCTGGCTGCGCAGTGCCAACATCACTCACATTGCCCGCCAGGGTAGTCTGATCAACTTTGCGACCACCGTCGGCAAGGCCAATGAGCTCCTGAGCACCACCTTTTCCTACTACCAGAACGGCTACTCCCAGAAGTTGCGCACGACGGAGTACTCGATCCCTGATCATTTGGTCGACTCGATCGATCTCATCTCCCCGACGACCTTTTTTGGCAAGGAGAAGACCAGTGCTGGCCTGGCTAAGCGATCGTACAAGATCGAGGGCAACCATGTGGCCAAGCGCTACAACTATTCAACCTGTGCCGATCTCATCACTCTGTCTTGCTTGAAGGAAATGTACAACTTTGGCAACTACACCCCGAGCGCTTCATCCGGCAGTAAGGTCGGATTCTCCAGCTTTTTGAACGAGTCGGCGTCCTATGCCGATCTGGCCAAGTTTGAGCACCTGTTCAATGTTCGTCACCAGGAATTCGCCGTTCAGTTGATCAACGGCGGCACCAATGACCAGAATGCGTCGACGGCCTCGGTGACCGAGGCGGACATTGATGCTGAGCTGCTGGTCGGCGTTTCTCACCCTCTGCCGGTGACCGAGTTTATCACTGCTGGCACACCGTAAGTTTAACCCCCAGATTTGTTGACGATGCTGACCGCGTAGTCCTTTTATCCCCGATCCCGATGAGCCGAGTGCTGCCGATAACGAGAACGAGCCCTACCTCCAGTACTACGAGTATCTGCTCTCCAAGCCCAACTCGGCGCTGCCTAACGTGATTTCCAACTCCTATGGCGACGATGAACAGGTAGGCTGACCTCGAGCATATTCGAGGGATACTAGCTGACAGAGGTAGACTGTTCCGGAATACTACGCCAAGCGAGTGTGCAACCTGATCGGCCTTGTCGGTCTCCGCGGTATCAGTGTGCTGGAGTCTTCTGGAGATGAGGGTACGTCTACTATCTGATGCCCTGCCCAACCGTGACTAACACAAACAGGCATTGGATCCGGCTGCCGAGCTGGAGACGGCACCAACCGCCCCCAATTCAACCCCATCTTCCCGGCCACCTGTCCGTATGTGACGGCAGTCGGTGGCACGATGTCGTACGCCCCTGAAATCGCCTGGGAGGCCAGCTCGGGTGGTTTCAGCAACTACTTTGAGCAGGCCTGGTTCCAGAGAGAAGCCGTGCAGAACTACCTGGCCCACCACATCACCAAGGAGACCAAGCACTACTACTCGCACTTTGCCAACTTTAGCGGTCGTGGATTCCCTGATGTCTCAGCCCACAGCTATGAGCCTGCGTAAGTAGACTCTGTCTTCTGCACGAAGGATATATGCTAATTGGAACAGGTACGAGGTTGTCTGGTATGGCGATCTGTATGGATCCGGCGGTACCTCCGCAGCCAGCCCGGTATTCGCTGGCTTGATCGGCCTGTTGAATGATGCCCGTCTGCGCGCCGGCAAGCCCGCTCTGGGCTTCTTGAACCCTCTGCTCTACAGCCAGGGTTACAAGGCGCTGACTGACGTGACCCTGGGTCAGTCGATTGGTTGCAACGGCATCGACCCCCAGAGCGACGAGGCGGTTGCTGGAGCGGGCATTATTCCGTGGGCGCACTGGAATGCCACTGTGGGATGGGACCCGGTTACTGGTCTGGGTCTTCCTGACTTTGAGAAGTTGAGGCAGTTGGTGCTGTCGTTCTAGCCTAAGACGAATTATGAGTGTATAATATGTGATGACATATCATTGTGATGCGATTGATGATGCTATCCTTGTTCTCCATATCTTGCCGAACCGATGAACTTACTTCAGTAACTGCTGGGGAGGCCGGTCTTTATGATAAATTAATAATTCATTGAGAAGGCTATCCTTGCATCGGTCTTATCTTCACACGGACATATCTCCGCTTGGTTTAGTTAAGCGCCAGGATGACTCAACCCACGAACCCCTTTCATATCCAACCCATAACCACTATCTCTACCACAATAACCCCTGTCAATCACATGCGAACCCCAACCCAAGACAAGCCCGCGGCAGTACCCGACTCCTGCAAAGCCTCTCTCTAGATATCAGACACCGAATCACCAAACCCTTAATTCTCACGCACGAGCACCCCTACAAGATCTGCATTAGCGCGATGCACCCACAAGCTGGAAACAAACCCCTCACGGATCTGATTGGCGCGCGACTCAACACAGCCGGACGTGATTCCCAGAATAGGAATCAGCGCGAAGGGGCCAGTGCGAAGAGTCTTGGGCGACAAGGCTGAGGCTCAAACGGTACACATCACCTCTTTAAAGGGAGGGTACGTGCCATCCCCCGTGTTCCCCCCATCCTTCGCATTTATCCAGTCCATACCCACCTGAGACACTGCGGTACACAAAATGAACCCTCTTATAATCGCAATCCTTCGCGCCTTCCAGGTACATCTGCCCCCACCATTCCATCAACCAACCCTGACACCAGGAATATAGCTCGTCTTCTCCGTCGTCGTCCTCGGCATCTCCATCTCCCTCGCCAAAGGCCAACACATTAATTCCGTCCCCGGTGCCACCGGCTACGCAGCCTTCACCGGCGGTCTGGGCACACTCGCGTCTCTGATCGGCGCGGCAGCGATATTCATCGAGTCATTCCAAACGTTCCTCTCATGGGCGATTGATGGATTAGCGTCGTTGGCGTTTGTTACTGGGGGGATTGTACGTCCCACCTCTCCCCTCTTCCCCCCCATCATCATATCCAATACTAGTATCCACATGCTAATAGGGTAAATATAGATATACGCAGTCTACCTCCGCAACACAAACTGCTCGAACCAGCTAACCTCATGCACCAACTCCATTATCAATGGCGGGTCTTTCAGAGATGGCAAGAAGACGATCTGTTGGTATAGTGGGGGAAAGTTGAATAGTCGGTGTACGTCGGCCAAGGCGGATATGGTGTTTATGTTTCTGGGGTTTGCGGTTTGTGCGGCGGTTTGTGGGATGGTGTTTTTGAGGAGGAGGAAGGGGGGGTATGTTTAGATTTATCACAGGAGTGGTGAGGGGGATGGTTTGTTTGTGAGGGGGGTGGGATATATGTGTTTGGAAGGAGAGTAATACACGCACTTAATCACAGTACTCTAACTACTACTATAACGCATCGAAAGGGACAGGTCAACAAAGACAAGATCCCAAACTCTGTAAACTATAATCTAGTACCACATATAAACTGCGAACACCCCATCAAAACCCAGACTTAGCATGCGAGAACGGACACGTAGCAATCGCCCTCTCTTTGATAACATCCATATCAACCCTCATCTCCTCCACCCCTCTACCCCTCTGCGGCTCCGGTCCAATCGTCAGCAAATCATATCCCTGCGGCTGATACCGATCTCCACGCGAACCTGGGACCTTTCCTCCGAGTATCCTCACCAACCACGCACCAGGTCCCCATCTGGCCCAGAATCTCGGCTGCATATACCACGGCTGCAAACCCTTTCGATCAAAGTAGTATCGCTTTGTCGTCGGATCTGCTGTCTCATGCACGATCTTGACGGGAGAAAAGCGTGGGAGAGACAAATACCGCAGGAATACCTTTCGAGTTTGTCGGATACATCCCAGTATGAACAACAGAACTGGACCAGGTTGTTCAAGCCTACACGACATCAGCACCGATAACCCCATAACCCACCTCACAACAGGGAGAGATACTAACCACAGAGCCCCCCTCATAACCCCATCCACCTGCGCCGCCAAAACCCTCCTCACAACCCCCCTCACGAAACCCGGCACCTTCTCCAACCCCCCATCCACATAAACCCTCACATACCGATCATTCGTCTCCACCGGCCTGGCCACATCCTCTTCATACCGCATCGTCCACTCACATAACTCCTTCGCAAAATGTAATCCATCGCGCCAGCCTTCCTCATGCGAAGAAAGCGAAGTAAAAGGGATATCCATATCTTCACCGAGGTTTTTGTGGAATATGCCTAGAGCACATTTCTCTACATCGGTTAGAGAACGCCATTCGTCGCGGGAAATCACGGTGAGGATCTCGGAGAGCCCGTCGCCGAGGGTATGGAGGAGGTCGGGGTCGGTGATTTTGTGGGCTGCGCGGTAGCGGGCGTGTCTTGTTTTGTTCCATTTATTTCAGTAACTGGGAGTGTAACGAAGGTGGTGGGTGGTGGTCAGCATACAGATAGTTCATCCTCGCCACAGCCATTATATACCGATCCGAGTCTCTAGGCTTCGACTGCACCTCCCGGAGAAGAACCTCCGTGTCTACGGCGCGTTTACCCGAATTACGTTTATTGTTTTGTCCGGTCGCTGCGAAGAGTTGGGACATGGTTGGGATGCCTCCTGCCTGAAACAAAACCAAGATTCAGCATTGTAAAGAGGGTGATACTATGAGGATGGGATGATGATGGTACCTTGAGCAGGGCGATCCTCCGAGCTTTGCTAAAGGCGTATGGAAATTCGAGTTCTTGGAGTTGAGTGATGATGGTGTGGGCTTCTTGGGTTGTCATGCTGGATAGTGGTCTTTTGCCGTGGAGGAAGGGGGCTTCGATTGCTTGCTTTCGGCGGTAGCGAAGGAGTCGGACCGTGGTGATGTAGGCAGTGAGGAGGAGGAGGAGGAGGAGGAGGAGGAGGAGGAGGAGGAGGAGGAGATGGTCCAGTGGTGATGGGTCCATAGGGATTGGAGACAGGTGAGTGGGTTTGGCATGTTGGTAGGCTTGAATGGGAAGTAGATGAAAGTGTGGTCGATGGTTATAAGCAATGGTGGACTGAGACGAGGATTGAATGACTTGTCCAGCGTATGTAGAGCACTGAGGCAACAGATCTTTATATGTTGAAAAGTTGTCAGATTTGTTGGGAAGAGAGCTCGAGGCAGATTAACCTGATATTGTAATCCCTTTAAGGTAGTCGATGTGGATCGCCACGATCACTCTTACCGGCCAATCATTATATTCAGGGGATGGGGAAAGAATCGAAACGAAGTAAGATAGCTACAATGTTTTGAAATTAAAAATCGGTGGGCGTTTTAACATGTGTCAATCCGCCACAGAAGCAGTACCTCGTTTAGATACCCGAAATGGAGGTATTGAAACAGCATATATCATGTAAATTGGATAATCATCCAATACGCTTCTAATACAACATACAAATACTGGGAGCGTACATCAATAGTTGCAACGTTAAACCCTTCTCCGCAATGCCGATTGAAATGTATTTTCAACATCAGCGCGCCGGAATCCAGGCGCCCGGCCCAAAATGGCCATACCGCGAAGTAATCCTGGTCTTGTTATGGATAATCTTTAAACATCGGTCATGGGTGATAGCTCACCTGTTGAAAAAGCCTCCAGGTCGAGTACGTAATGTGGTGATCGTCGAGGCGATGCAGAGACGTCGCTCCCTATAAGTTTTGAATCCTGGAGCCTTCTTGCTGGGAGGGAAAGCTTACCAGTGTGGGAGACACCTGGATCATCAGTGCAAGAGCCAAAAGTACTCACATAATGACTGCTACCATCATGTGCAGGATTCACTTCGGCGACAAGTGGATGCACGCTAGACCCATCTATATCCACCCCTCTAGCTCTCAGATACCCCTCCACATCTTGACAATCAAACCATTCGCCGCCGAATCCACAAAGCTCAAGATGCCTGTGGGACTGGGATTGATCGGCGAAATGTGGGCTATTAGAGGCTTCGGCCATAGGTAAAATACCCAGTATCCTCCGCGGGATTCTCGCCCCCGAAGGATAGATAGGGTTCCCCGCTTGGTCCACGGCCCGATAGTGGGTTCCTGCTCCCCCAACCGAATAGAATGGTAGCGACAGAATTTCGAGACAATGCCCTCGTGGCGAGCTCACCAAATCTCTGAAGAAGAGATACATCTTGGCCCTGTCTCGGAAACAGGGAACAAGTCGGAAAAGTCGGAAGACCTCCAGTGGATGAGCGTGAGGGTCACTGAATATGCGAAAGGCATGTTCCAAGCTGGTCCGTTTCAGTCTTCGGGTAAAAGAGCTTTCTAGGTATGAATATGTGTAGGGGTCATGTGCCCCGATAGATCGAACAATCGGTTGCACCGATCTCACATGCTTGCTCCTGGTAGCCGGTGCTGAACGTTGACTATTTTGCCCAACTTCTAGAGAGCATGTGACATCGGATCGGGGAGACGCATCAAATGTGCCACATGACTGAGTGATTATCGCTTGGCCACTAGCCAAGAGGTCATTGGAGCAATGGCCTACACATTCGTCATGATCAGGTAGGCGTGGCACGGACGCTGACATCTCCCTCGATGGAAACTCAGCGCCGCTGGATGCTTGCATCACCTCAGCCGGCGCTGTAGGCAGTAAAGCAAGGATACTATCAAGGTCATCGACAAGTCCGGGATGTCTACCTTGCAGAATCGACTGAAGAGTGATTCTATAACCTTGTAGTAACTCTCCAATTCTACTCAGGCGCTGTTCGAGCTCAGCGACAAGCGTCTGCGCTTTTTGAACAGTTGCTTCTTTTCTCTCTCGATAGCCTTTCTGAGCACGTCTAATTTGGCTTCGTCGAGTCTGTGGGGCGTCAGATGTGGAATTCACGATTTCATGTAGACGAGATACCTCTGACAATTTAGCAGCACCAGGTTCAGTGAGCCGAGGCCTGCCTGCACTTCTGCGCGAAGATCTCCGTTCGATTGCAGGCTTTGCCGATTGTGTGGACATTGTGACTCTGGAACAGAATGATGAGAACTAGTGGAAAGTATGCGCTCTTCGCCTCGGATACAGCTTGAGAAACCGAGTCCTGAAGTGGGGATATGCGGTGGCGTCTGAACGCGGAACTTGATTTTCTACACAAGAAGCACCTCGGACACCTTAAGCAATGAGCAAGTCATACGCTGAGGAAGATTCAGGGCTGTAGTCACGTAGAACCTTGCTTATTTTCTAATATTCTTCCTTTATCTCCCATGCACGATGTGTTTGAGGTGACAGAATTGGTTGATTACATTATCAGCTCGGATAACCACAATCGCCGATCCCGAGCCGAGGTCCACGTGTGGTTGGTTGAGTAGTTGAGAATCTTGGACAGCACAACGTTGAGATTTTCTGAGGTAGCCTCATGATTAGTTGGCTCTGGTCTCTAGTTCCTATCAAGCCCTTAGATATAATGCACTTGCCTACAGCTGTCTGTGCTGTCAGATAGCAAAGGTGTGACCATCTAATTTCTGTAGCCCATTGATAAGGTGACGGGTTCTGGCGATCTCCAGAATATATTCATACCATCAAAGGCTCGGACAGCCATTGCACAGCGAAACAAAAATACCTCTATCAGCAGATGCTTGAATAGATTGTTTTGAGGACATAGTTTGCAATTGATTGCCTTCTGGGTGTGTTGATCGAACCATCTCGACCAGTTCCATCTTTTATAATTCCGCGGCTCTAGAATGAGTAACAAGTACTAGACTGTTGGAGGCCTTCTGGCCATCCATTCCCGTTGAAGCCCCTAGGTATAATTAAAGACTAGACAAACGGAGAAGGTTGTTGGGCGATATTGCTTATTGGTTAGATCGTGTAAAAGGGAAAGTAATACCAAGCGGGTTGGTCATGCAAGATGAATTGGTCAATGTTCGTTCCATGCATTGTTTTTGGGTCATGTGAGTAGCGTTCACTAGTAGTAATTACGTTACAAAATTCTATCAATGATCTGAGAATCCGCTTGAAATGGTTAGGGTATGCAATCTATGGTTATCCCTGCAGCAGTCTGCAGAAGGCGGCGCCAGATCTGAGGTAGGATAAAGAAAAGCCACCCGACCTGCAAGATCTCTGTTAAACCAGGAGATCTTCACTGGTATCTATACTACACTGGGATCTTGTTTGTAGGGCACAATGGACTTTATCGCAGCTTCTGCTGTAGGCTTTGGGGGATCCAATCCAGGAGTATGCTGACCGTCTGGGGGATAACTGTGATGACCTAGTTGGAAGGATGCGCGGTTTGTAATATTAATGCCAAGGTTCTCAATGCAACCACTGTGCTGCATTGTGCACCGGTCAGTCTTGCCCCGCGGAGATACTTACCAATATTGCTACAATGTTCATAGGCTTACATGCGCCTGAATATCCACTAAGAGTCCAACTCAGGAATACCTGTGCTAGCGCTCCCATGACTCACGGATCTCTCTTGTGTTGTAGTCTATACAGTATTCTGTCTGTCTGCCGGAACCAAATACTTTCTAGCCGAGAAACGATGTCGGAGAATATCATCTCAATATTCTCGGAAGGTATGCCTTTGGTCCACGTTTCTGACCATCTATTGGAACGCGTATGCTCCACTCAATTATTAAATTCCAAGGGATCTCATACAGACCGCTACTTGCCCCTATATCTACCATATGTAGCCTCTAACTAGATCTCATCATCTATCTTATTTACATCTAGTAAGTCGCCCCTGAGCAGCGGACCCAACCGATATTCTCACTGCCGATGAATGGTCGCCCTACGGTGGAGCCTGGCCGGGGACCCTGGGGGTTAATATAAACGGCCCGCCACTCCACAGGCAACAATTCGATGCAGTCCACCCACGAGTAATCTCCACCAGCCAAGCATTGATAAGTGCTGACCATGGCGCACACACCACATTGCAGTAAGCCAAACGCAACAGTTGACGAACCTCGTGATTTTTAAGCAAAATGAGGTTCCCTACCGGCTACATTATTTGTGCCGCAATCGGCTTCGGGCTCCTAGGAGCTGCCAAAGGGCTGGACGAGGGTCTCATCGCTATTACCGTGAACCTGCCGTCATTTGTTCGTGAATATGGTCTTGACGCAAGTGACCTGAGTGCCGCCGCCAAGGCAAATCGATTGTCGAACATTACCTCGATGGTTCATCTAGGGAGCTTGCCTGCGGCCTTTCTCGCCTTCTTGCTGAGTGACTTTATCGGACCACTCTGGACAATGAGGCAGCTATGCTTGCTCTGGATTATCGGTGCGATCATTGTCATCACATCGGTAGGAAACTACAGTCAGCTCATTGGTGGTCGCTTTATCATGGGATTGGGGATGGGACAGGCCGGTATCATCGGCCCCATTTACCTCGCGGAAGTGGCACCCACAGCTTGGCGAGGACTACTCGTTGGAATCTATGCATCGTCCGAGTATATTGGAATCCTGATCGGAGTGAGTTCTATATTCATCTTCGATACTTCTTGCTGATGTGGCCAGTATTTTGCAGGGTATGGCGCCTCTCTCCACCTATCCGACTACAGCGACCAACAATGGATCATCCCCCAATCCTGTCAGATCATGTTGGCTGGCGTCCTGTTGCTCTTCTCGGTTGGTTGTGTCGAAAGCCCTCGGTATCTGTGCAAAGCCAACCGCACCGACCAAGCCGCCCGTGCTCTGGGGCGGCTGCGCCGACTCCCCTCGGATAGTCCTAGCATCGTGGAAGAGGTACGGGAAATCCAGAGGCAGGCAGCCGCCGTACAGTCGAAAGAGGGGCGAAGGTCACTACAACTACTGGAGCCGTGGAAGCTGCTGTTCGGACAGGCTGCCAATAGATACCGACTCTTATTCCTGCTCTCCGCGCAACTGCTCAGTCAGTGGTCAGGAACGAACGCCATCACCAGTAAGTCCCCCGTTCCTCTCTGAACAATTTACTCACCTTGAATAGCCTACGCTCCCAAATTCTTCTCCCTGCTCGGAGTAACCGGCCAGTCCGAAAAGCTCCTGAAAACCGCCATTTTCGGCGCCGTGAAACTCGCCGCGGCGCTAATATGCGCCATCTTCTTCATTGATCAGATCGGGCGGAAGCGGTCGCTCATGTCCGGAATTACTCTACAGCTCCTTGCTCTCCTCTACATTGCCATCTTCCTCACTGTGACATCCTCGCTGAGTGTGGACACTCACTCAGGGGCTGCCCACCGAGCAGCCATTGCCGCGATCGCGTCTATCTACGTGACCGGCATCGGATACGCCTTTGGCTGGAACTCGGTACAGTATCTGATCAATGCGGAGATGCTTCCATCATCAGTGCGTACCCTCGGCACGAGCATACTGATGTGTATTCATTATGCGAATCGGTTCGCGCTTACCAAGGTATGCCTCACCCCTGTTTCTCGTACGAAGGGTGGCTTACTGAGAGTCTAGGCGGTCCCCACCATGATGCTAGCCGATGCCCTCCAACCCAAGGGCACATTCTGGTTCTTCTTCGTGGTCGCGTTTCTGGGATTTTTGTGGGGAATGTTTCTCCTGCCGGAGACGTCGAGGAAGAATCTGGAGGAAACGAGCGAGATGATTAGATGAGAACTATCGTGATATTGTTAAGGCTCTCTCAGGATGAGGTTCCTTTCGTCCGATACTTGGCCAGCCCCGCCCCGAGCTATGTTCTCTTCTGCAGTCCATCGCGATTCCGTGGGGAAGCAACTTGAAAAAGTTTTGCATTTATTTCTATATATGCAACTATACAGACTTGATTTTCTAGAATCAACGTAACCTTCCCTATTTGGATGGGGCCACTTTAATGAGGGCGCTCAGGGAGTCGCTTACTGAGTATTTCTCATCACTGGTCAAGGCTCTGTGAGCACTCAGTATCTATTCAGGATAGGATTAGTTATTAATCATATATACTCTGAGCTGCTCATACCTTAATATTCTATATTATTAGCTTGATGATAATACTAAATTGACTGTCTCTATAATGCCTATCTTCTTTAATCTATATGCACTATTTAATATAATTATAATTTTGATAGTCATTCTGAGACTTTCCAGTGGTAAAATTCCCTGGGCTTAATTAAGATTATTCCTAATAGCTCTAGTAAAAATATAAGAAGGATGTCTTTGTTACGCTTTCATGCTTATCAAGTAACTGATATCTTGTTTCTTTTGTTTTCTCAACCTATCTCATATATATATATATGTCTGCTCTCTTACTATTTGTATTTTGATTCCTTTATTAACTATGGGTAGAAAGAACTTTTAGCGCGGTAAAGATATCTATAAGAAACACTATAAGTATTATTTTATTTCCGGGTATATTTCATGAGTCTATAAAAAAAAACCTCTCTTGTCACGGTGCAACCTCCCAAGCCGGGAAGAGAGGAATACTACCGAGTCTCACCGCCTAGCACGTGACCCCAGACATGGTTAAAAGCCACCTACCCCCTGAACCCCGTCCGTAGCCTCGAGCTACGTCTTGTCTATCAACCTATATATAGCTTGACCAGTAGCCAGCTCAGCATCCAGTCAGAATCCTAGTCGTTATTATTATCCAGACCCCGCTCGCCCGCCAGAACCCGCTATCCTACCACCCCTACCTACCCGCACCTTGACATTATGTAGATACTAGAAACTAGCACTAGGATTAACTATTCTAGAAATTATCAGAAAACTGGTACAGCCTGGTAACTATTACTGAGAAAATTAATTATGCATTCTAAGTTTAATTATGTGATAATATAAAAGTCTATCTTATCTTCTATCCCAATAAACTCTGCCTTCGCGATACTTTGAAGCTGCTGCCTGGGCAGATCTTAGACTAAACTCTTTTATTAAAATTAATAACTATACTGAATGGGAGATGGAACAGATCTTAAAGAGCTATTTATAAATAAGAATTTTATAGTATTACGTTAAATAGGTAGGTTCTGATGAAAACGACCGTGTGTAATATCCTACTAGTAATTTTAAGAATATACCTTTTGTGATAGGATCTACTTGTCAGGATAGAAGGCCTGTCGACTAGGTAAGGAACTGGCCACTAAATGCATAGGATTCCACTGATAATGACAAAGGTAGCCTATATCCACGAGATAGACTGATCCTTGAAGGATCAGTAGTCTAACACTGAGGAGCGTTGCCTTATAGAAAACAGGGAGGTTCGGAACTGCTACCGATGACCTTACGACTCCTATGACCACCCCAGCACGTCACCCTGAGGACCTTGATCCCACTAGCTGGGCTATTATGCCACCGAACGTCAGTCGGGCCGGTGCCGATAAGATAAGGCCTCCATCCAGACCGTTCTATCACACCTTTCTATTTACATGACTTTCATGCCCGCTACCCAAACCACCCCGGACTGCCTAAATGACTTCCTATATGGATCACCGCGGTGGAGAACGACAAATTTACTACGGATCACGAAGATGATAATATTTCTCTAACTGAGGACAGTCAGGCCTAAACAGGAGGGTGATGTGACGGCGGCTCTATTTAAGATTATATAACCATGGTTATTTCATTTATTTTACTATCGTTTTCTTTAAGTGAGCGCCCATAATACTTCCTGTTTTCCTTTTCTCCTCCTTACGCTTAAAGTTCTAGAGTAGTTAGCACCAATACGACCTCATTTTGCTGTGTCGAACGGCCGTCTCATACCCCGCGGCGAGGGGTTCTGAATGACTGGCTCTCGCTGTTCATGTTACATCGAAGTCAGCCTGGATCATTGATGTGACATGGGTAAGCTATATGTAACGTTCCCATCATTGTATCAATGAGTCATCGAGCGTGCGATTGAACAGGATCCGGAAGTCTTTATGAATGGTGTAGTACCCGCTATCAAGTCTCTTCGAAACATCACTCCGGGAGGGCGACTCGCAATGATGGACGCACTTCAGTGAATCCATCTAGCAACGATTTGTCGGTAAGAAGCGGGTCAGCAGGCCCTTTTTCGATTCATCATGACCATCCCTTATCATTGTCGGGACATGGGTCTGGCCTTTATGGCAGCTGTGTGCCTCACGGCTGCGGCTCCCTTAACTACGGAGTCAGCCATCCACGCGACGTACAACATGCCACTTAACTGGACCCAAGCAGGCTTCACGGCAAGTATATCTATGGGGTCACCGGCACAAAGCCTTGCGGCTTTCGTTGACTGGACCTGGATCGGGCACTTTGTGGTTACGACCACCTGCTATGGAAACTCCACGGGTAATGGAGATGACTGTCTGAATAGCAGTCAAGAGCGTTTTTACCAGTCAAATTCTAGTACCTTCCAACCGCTGCCTTCTGAAAGGTCCCTTCATTGGAACCCCAACCACTTCTTCTTCACGAATCCCATTGATGCCGACATCGCCCGTGAGGTGGTCAAAGTTGGACCCGTCGAGGTCAAGGCGACCATTCAGGCATTCGATGCGCAATTCGATGCCAGACAGATCACGTTCCCTTTTTCTGCCGTCTTAGGGTTCTCTCCCGCGTTTTCTGACGATATAAAGAATGGTGCGTACCGAACGATAAATACCACATAGTCAATTACGTGGATTAACGCCTAACAATAGCATCTATCCAATCCCCTTTCTACCAGGCTTATGAGGCCGGTGCTTGGAACAACACACAAACTGGATTTTTGTACTGCTACGGCACCAACACGAGCCCCTGTAATGGGTCTGACGGGATTCAGACGCTTGGAGGGTACCGAGACGACCTTGTGCATGGTGAGATCGAATGGCACGACGTCATCAAGTTCCCCCTGGTAAATGATATTGATTTCATATACCAGCCGCCTATTTATAACTACTGGGCTTTGGAGCTCTCTGGGTTCGCAATCGGCGACGAGGAGCTTGCTGTGAATAAAAGCGCTGGCGCAGTCTTTGACCATGCCAGCTACGGCCGTGGCGCCCCTGTGTCGCAAGAGGGATACAAAAAGTTGATCGAGACGGTGAATGCGACAAAAGCATGCCTTAAGGATTCAGACCAGCCCAACAATGCAAAGCAGGACTTCTACAAGTTTTCCAACAGCGCGTTTGATGAGTTGGAACCTCTCAAGTACAGATTCAGTGCATCCAACCGTGAATGGACGATTCACCCATATGACTATGTGGTCCCTCATCCCTTTGAGGCAGAGTACTCGATCTTGAATGTCCGTGCGCTGGGATGGGATGACTTTGTTATTGGAAACTTTGGGGAGACATTTCTGATCGATAAATATACCATCCTGGATTTCGGCAACCCTGAATCATCATCTATAAGAGTCGGCCTTGCGGATGCAAACTATGACCCTTACCCATGGCCCGTAGACCGAAAAGGCTACGGCTCTGATACTGGTCAACAAAGACTCGGTGGCTTTGGCGCTGCAGATGCCTATTATCCTCGTGGCCATAGCCAAATGCCATTGGGCTCCAAGGGTAAAATGACTGGCCTCTAGAAGGAGTGGAAGGAATTGTTCTCAGAAGTTCGGCGTTGGAAAAGGAGCACACTTAGTGATGCAGCGTGATAGTTGAAAGATTATGTGTTTTGCGTTCCAGTGTTTCCATTCCTTCTCCATGAATATTGTGTCAGTCCTTATTTGCTGCCAAGCTGTTCTCACCCTTTTATCTACCAAGCTGAGCTGCCAACTGTGTAGGTATGTAGGTCATTTTAAGCGCGTAATACGTAAGTTCACATTCAAAAAAATGAAGATAAAAAAAAAACAACCTCGCCCTGGCCCGTGAGAGCCAAATCTGGTTCTGACGTCCCCCAGAGACTAGACATACGTTTGGCAATGCGTGTACTTCTATACTCCCTGAGTACATGATTTCATAGAACTCACCAATCTGACAATAAAACATACCTCAACCAGAGAAAGGTACTGTTGAATTTGATAGTATCTTATGGCCTCTGACATAAGGCCTTCACCTCCTGATTATATAGACTGGTGTTTTATAAGTATCAGTGTAAGGCGGAATCAGCGGGCGGTACGCTTTTGGGGCAGTGGAGGCTGGTAAGTGGTAGCTTACTTTAGTACTAGAGGATTTCGGGTTTATGCAACCGTATAGAAAATTATATTCGGGTTAAACCAGACAAAGTCTTTAAGGAACTATAGCAACCTACAATTAGACATCTAGTCCTCACTACCTTGGATTGCTAGCCTGCAATAAATAACACAAGATTGTTTATAGTCTTTTCTGCTCTGAGTATACATCTGTTTCCCTGAAAGAATGACCTTGTCCTGCTCATATCACGGGCAGAGAAGAAACATCCTGCCCGGATGCTATATCCATTTGGACATATTTCAAGATAGCTTCAGTTCAACGGCATCGCTGAGCGTACACTATTAGTCTTCCATAGATGCGAAAGGTACTTCTCGTTGACTGCAGGGCATTTGATAAATTGATTTCGCTTCAAGACGGCATCGGTGTTGGTGCGCGCCAGCTGGAACATATTGTGCCCTAGCTTAAAATATGATTTTAGAGTCTCCAAGCGGAGCTGCTCCTGTTCGTCAGCTCCCGTGCCAACGATCTCTAGCCACTGGTTCAAGTCCACCTTGCGGCCGGTGATCCCGTCGCCGGTAATCTTCCCCATCAAACGGGGTAGTTCATCCAGCGGAAGGGGTGACGGGTTGACAAGGTGATAGACCTGTAGCCCCGATGCCCGATCACCCTCCTCAGAGCGGGAAATGTAGCCGAGTGCTTGAACAAGATAATCCACCGGGATGAAATCAAGGACGAAGGGGTTGGTAGTGGCGTTTGTCTTCGGGATTGCCCGATGACGGAGCATATCGACGAGAAGAGCACGAACCAAGTCGTCCTTAGGTGCGGGAACGCCCGTATGTGCGGCCTCAGTCACAGCGGAGGATCGGTAAATGGTGACAGGAAAGCCACGTTTGGAGGCTTCGGTGAAAAGCATCTCAGTGACCCAGCGGGATTGGAAATAGCCGGATTGGTTGGTTGGGGGCGGCGTAAAGTGGCCCATGGCGGTTTCACCCACATCGATCTCGGGCCGTGAGCGTTTCGTCTGATTCCACGACTGCAAATGCGGTACGCTCCACGTAGAGAGATAGTGGATCTCACTGCAGTGCCCGCCGCTCCGGGCTAACTCAATCAGGGTCAGTGCAGACGTGGTGTTTATCCGCTTAAGGCGCTGGTACGTTTTCAGCAGCGATACTTCAGAGGCTAAGTGATAAATACTCTGGACCCTTCGCGCCAGGGCCTGAAAGCTCTGGTGAGAAAGTCCCAAGTATGCCTCTGAGAGGGAGCCGGACACACAGTGAACACGAGAAGAAACCTGCTCAATAGCTATCGTATGATGGAGGAGACCATGGTCACATAAAGAGGCGATGAGCTGGCTGTGGGTGAGCGGGGAGTGCGTGCCGATGACATGAATCGTGGTATGGGAATCTTGGAGAAGCAAGTGAGCAAGCATGTGGATGCCATTGAAGCTTTCCGAGCCTGTTAACAAAATGTCTGTGATGGAGGATCGAAGAGGCCGGCGGCATCCCAACGGAATCATGTACTGCTCCTCATCCGGCAATCTACACTCCTCCGCCCAACTCACATCCTCCACAGGAGCGGACGCACTGCTAATCAGTTGTGGGCGCCGCGAATGGCTTGTGAGAAGACCCGCGATATGCGACGGAGTGGGCGTGCGGATCATTTCCGGCAGAGAAAGAGAAACCCCGAATGTGCGTCGTAACTTTGACTGAACCCGCATGAGAAGAATGCTTTGACCCCCCAGCTCAAAGAAATCATCCGTAGGAAGAATAGGTCGATCAACCTTGAGAATATCCTTCCAGGTCTGAATGACGGCCGCCATGGCATCTTGATGTTCCTGCTCTCTGGATACCTGACCTGTTCCTCCATCGGCGGCTGCTGGTGCGGGATTGGAAGGGAATGTAGGATTCATGTCGCACTTGGCGAGGAGCTTCCGATCGACTTTGCCATTGCTAGTGATTGGCAGAGCGTCGAGAAACACATACGCACTTGGGATCATGTACTCGGGCAGGAGACCTTGCGAAGTCGAATTCAGGTACCAAGAGTACTGTCCTTGTTCCGGCAGTGGTACACGCTGTTTTGTCGTTACGAATGCAATCAGCAGACGATCATCCGTCAAGGATGAGCTATGCTCCCCGATCGTGCGAGCCACTACAGCAAGGTTTGCCAGCCCCTGCCCCTGGGGCGTCTGAGAGGCTTCGTGAAGGACATGCTCCACCTCCCCTAAGTCAATGCGGTAACCGCGTAGCTTAATCTGCTTGTCACCGGAGATGCGTTCGATAAATTGGAGCTGGCCATCGGGTAGAAAACGTCCCCTGTCACCAGTCCGGCATAGACGGGTCCATCCCTTGTCGTGGTCACTGGGCAAGGCAAATGGATTGCTGCAAAATTCTTTCTTGTTGTCATCAGGCCGGTTGCGGTATCCGAGCGCGACCTGAGGCCCTCCAATGCATATCTCTCCAGTGAAGCCTGGCGGCAGCGGGTTCATGGCGGGATCAACGACATAATGACGATTGTTACCGATGGCATGTCCGATTGGGATATTGTGCTGATCATCCTCCGGCCAAGTGACCTGATGGAAGGTCGTTTGCACGACCGTCTCTGTAGGCCCCCAGCCATTGTACAAGGTCGCCAGGCAGCCTGAGTCATGGAAGGCCCTTGCGACACGGGTTGGTAGCCACTCGCCGGCGCACAGGCAAGTTCGATAGTGTGAACAGGTACGAAGAGCATCCGGATTGTGCTCTATAACCAGAGCTAGTAAGCTGGGTGTGAAGTACGTTACCGATATGGATTCGCTGCGCATAAAATCGCCGAGGGCAATCGGGTCTTTCCGTGTGCGTTGGCTAGCGATGCAGAGTCGGGCGCCTGCCGTCAGGGCCGAGAATATCTGGACAACGGAGAGGTCAAATGCCGGAGAAACGTTTTGCAAAAACCGATCAGACGTGGTAAACTCAAACTTGTCATGCATGGCTGCTAGCATTTCAAAGACGCTCTCATGGGAGAGTACAACGCCCTTAGGGCGTCCCGTGCTTCCCTGCAGGTTGGAGATTAGACCGAAGGCTGAGAGTACGCATAAGCCGGCCAAGCTAAGGGGAGACTTACAGAGGTATAAATCATGTAGCATGGGTCCGTGGGGAGCTGGGGTTGCACCCTGGCTTCATTTGGGGTGCATGCTGCTTCCTCAATACTCATTACCTGGAATTTCCTCACAGTATTGGACTGGATCCCTGCCGCAAGCTCCGTAGATGCTGGATCGAAGAGGACGACATTGATCCCGGAGTCAGCTGCGATAAATGCCAGCCGATCTAGCGGCATTGTCGGGTCCATGGGCACATAGCCGCAGCGGTTGAATAGAATTCCGAGCATTGCCGTCACTGTATCAACTCCAGGGTGGGTCAGAACTCCAATAAATTGACCAGGAGATACTCGAGCAGCTTGGAGAGAGAATGCCACGCAACGGGCACGCGTGGCCAGTTCTCCATAGGTGACGGCATCTCCTTCAGATGTCCTAATGGCAATGCCGTCGGGGTGAGCCTGTGCCCTTTCAAGAATTCGGGAAGAAATACTGTCATCCCTCCAAGAATTATGGTGAAGATCGATATTCCAAAACCCAGATTCCAACCGTTGTCTTTCCAATGAACCGCAGAGTGGGACCTCTTCAATGGGCTGCCGATGATCCCGAATGAGGCTTGTCATGAAGGCCAGGAAATTGTCGAAGAACCGAGCGACATCATCCGCAGCGTATAGGGTGGTGGAAAACTCTAGAGATAGCTCCAGCTGCTTATCAGTTCCTTCTTGCGCGTCTAGTTGGAGATCGAACGGGGTCGGGATATTGCGTAGCCCATTCGGTCGCATCACGAAGTCCTGCGTGCGGAATGACCCAGCTTCTTCTGGCATGCGGTAGTTAACTGACACTTGCCCAATTGGGAAATGGTTGGTGCTTCTGGGTGCATTCGTTTCGCTGACAATGACATCGAACGGTACTGCATTGTGCGTCATTGCTTCCAAAGTACAGGACGCCGTAGCCTTGAGAAGAGTTTCGAAAGCGCCGTCCAGCAATCCGCGACACCGGATGGGGATGTTGTTGACGAAGAAACCCTGGGTGTCGCTGACCTCTGCATGGGGGCGACTGCCGTCAAAGATCACAATGGTTAGATCTGTCTCCTCGGTATACCGGTAGAGGAACGCCCTGAACGCGCTGAGTAGGAAGTGAAACGCATTGGTACCGGACTGCGCGCAGATCCGTTTCATGCGCTTGAGCAGCTTGGAATCTATCGAGCCGGTGTGGCTCGCTCTGGCATACTGATCACCCTGCATCCGATCAGCTTTGGCAAAAGGCAATAGCTTCGAGCACGTGGGCATGTCGGCAAGAGTCTCCTTCCAATACTGTATGTGGGGGGACATCGACGCGGAGGTGAGGTGGTGATGGTGCCAACTAGTGAAGTCGGCATATGTGACCGTGGGAAGTGGAACCGTGGCAAGGTCTCTCTGCTCGCGGATCGCATTATACAACGCTGTGAACTGTGCGAGCAGTGGGCGTGTGCATGCGTGATCTGTCGCAATGTGATGCAAAATGTTGATCATCACAAACTCGCTGGCTGATAGCTTTGCTACTGTGACGTCCATGACTTCACCAGCTTCGATATCGAGCTCTTTCCTCTGTAGACTAGTGATAAGGGTGTTCAAAGCATCCCGTGGGTTTGCTGCTTGAGACAGGTCTTCGAACACGATTTTTGTATCAGAAGTCTCGACCATACACTGCTCCGCATGTTCATCTCCCTCATAATAGCGTGTTTGCAAGATAGGATGTCGGCGCTTCATCTCATGCAAGGCCTGCTGCATGCATTGCTCATCTGGTTGACCGGTGATGTCTACCAGAACAGCTAGGTTGAGCACAGACTTGTCCGCAGCAAAGCAGTGCGTAAACCACAAGCGTTTCTGATATGCCGAGAGCGGTAGAGGTACCAGCGGGTCTACCTTGGGAATAGCAGCAAGTGGGGACGAACTGGCTTTGGATTGGGTGCTAGTAGCATTGGAAAGGCCAGAGCTGCCACCAGTTATGTCGGCTGTTGGATCTGCACTCGCACTTGACTGCGTCGCTGCAGCCTGGGTGCTGAATATGGCAACAGCCTGGTCAATCAGAGCCTTGATGGAACTGGCTCCAACGACATCGAACAGTGCGATATCAACCCCAACAGATTTATTGAACCAGTTTCGTAGCTCGATGCCCACCAAAGAATCCAGACCATAGAGAGACAGAGGATTGCTGGTGTCGATGTTTTCGGCCGACAGACCTAACACGACAACCAGTCTTCCGATGAACCGCTCAAGCAGGGCTTCTGCTCTTCTGTTGTCATCTGGCAGTTGCCGAAGGAGGCTAGGAAGATTGACCTCCCCAGGCTGCGCAGCGCCGTCATCACTCTGGTCATGGTTTTTGTACAAATTCTGGAACAGAGGCTTGCCGATCCAGTATCTGTCCTTCTGCCTCAGGGAGATACCAGTGATGGTCTGAAACGCGTCGATACCGCGATCCGAGATAATCGTTCTTTGATCGGAAAAGACAGCTTCTTCTATCTGAGACAATAGCTCATGCTTGTTGACTGGATCGTACCCTTGTTGGTCCATAAGTCTCTCCAGTGCCGTGTCTTCTGCCACTACACCAACACCAGAGATGCGCCCACAATTCATGGTCGAACCAGGAAGCCCCAATTCTCGACGATGGCGCATCAATGTGTCGAGATACATGTTTGCGGCAGAGTAGTTACCCTGCCCCTTGGATCCATAGCATGCCGAAGCCGACGAGAAGCAGACGAAGAAGTCCAAATCCTTTCCCTCAGTTGCGAGGTGGAGATTGTGGGTTCCGACTACTTTCGGTCTCGTGCATTGTTGCCACTGGTGCAGGGTCATACGTTCCAGTGGTGCATCCTGAAGAACCATGGCGGCTTGGAAGACACCCCCGAGATTGGATAATCCCTGGATACATGTCTCTACGTCGCCGTAATCTGTCACATCGCCGCAGAACACAGTAACCTCAACACCATGGGATTGTAACCACTGCACGGTAGCCCGGGCCTCGCCACGAGCAGCTCCGGATCTGGAGAGGAACGCCAGCCTTCTCGCTCCTTTTGTATAGAGCCACTCTGCTAAGGCCCGCCCAAGGCCTCCAAGGCCACCGACCAGTAGGTATGTCTTATCTGAATGAAGGCGATTTGTGTTGTTCCTAAGGGACGACACTCTCACCGGAACCAAGTCACCTTCACGTCGCTCGAACACAACTTTTCCGATGTGCTTGCCCATCTGGAGCATCCGAAATCCGTCAATAGCCTTGGACCAGGGCAGAGTATGGACAGTCTCTGGGAGCTGGATTTTACCATAGTGGACCAGTTGATAGCACTCTTGCAAGAGTCGAGCTCCTAAGGCCGGGTTCTTCGCAAAAACAGTGATTAGATCGACCGACGCAAATAGCACATTTCGACGGAATGGCTCCATCTGGAGAGTGGAGTTCTCGTGAATATCACGTTTTCCTATCTCGATAAATCGACCGAACGGTGCAATGATGTTCCAGGATGCGTGGAGGAGCTTTCCAGATAAACTGTTGAGAACAACATCCACACCTCTGCCCTCCGTCAAGCGCATAACACCTTCAACAAAGCTGGCATCACGTGAAGAAAAGATTCGCTCGTCCGGGATTTCATATCGACTGCGCAGTAGGTCTCGTTTCGCCTGGGATCCTACCGTGGCAATGACCTTCGCGCCATACAGCTGGGCGACCTGGACAGCCATCTGACCGACACCACCAGCGGCACCATGGATCAGGACAGACTCCCCTTCCTTCAAACGAGCAACATCGTTCAAAGAATAGTAGGCTGTCAATAGGATTAAACCAAGAGAGACCGCCTGATCGAAGGGCATCTCACCCAGCCGAGCACAGTGGTAGGCGGGATTGCGGACAACAGAGCGGTGCGCCCCCAGCCCGGGTCTGAGGGCAATCACGCGATCCCCTGGCTTGAAGTCTGAGGGGTTCACATCCTTTCCAGTCCGTAGGACCACGCCGGCGCACTCATCACCCAGCGTATAATCGTCAATAATACCCATTGTTACCGCAACATCGCGAAAGTTAAGAGCTGACGCGCAGACCTCGATTTCTAGATCACCAGGCGCCAGCTCGCTGTCAAGAATTTCAGGATCATCCTCCCATACGAGGCTGTCAACCAATCCCACCTGGCCAACGGTGAGGCGAATGGGTCTCTCGCTGGTGATGTTCTCCATCTTCGCGCCCGAGCCGGCACCATTACTCAGTTTGCAGTTTAAGCTGTCGTCATTTTCCAACCGAGGAATATAGAGGACACCATCCCGCAGCGAAAATTCGTCTTCCCCGCTTCCTGAGTCTAAAGCGCGAGTGACGCCTGCGGCAATTGTGTTGGCGGCTTGCCCCGGTGTTATATCGAATGAGACGAGACGGGTGTCCGGATTCTCGGACTTTGCCACTCGCATCAGCCCAACAAGCATGCCGTTTAAAGGTTTTGACGGTCCATGCGTCGTGCCTTCGAGGAGCCAAACAATGTTCAACTTGGTCTGGATGACGAGGGTCCTTATTGCCTCAAATTGAGCAGGATCCTGAGCAGCAGGATCGAGGACGGTCTCGTCTAAACTGGTCAGAACAATGATATCCTGTGCTGGTATGGTTGTCTGGTAGGCCAAATCCCGTAGAGTGAGGCGCTGTGTTGGGTAACTCTCAATAGCTTCTTCAATACGGGCGGCAATCTGCAACGTCCTGCTAGACGGTCTCTCGGGCATCACAAGAGCTACTGAATAGTCTTCTGCTCGGGCAACGGGATTAGTCCGCTGCTTCTTCCAAACCCCAACCCCATTGCCCTGAGCGACAAGATTGAGCCCTGGCTCGTTGATCTGGCAGCCATCGGCAATGATATAGCCGTGCTCTTTCACCCAATGGCTGGGATCCTGTTCTGACCGGCTAACAATAACTAGGTCATATTTGTCTGGCTCCATTTCTCCGAGCACCACCCTTCCCGGCCGTTTACCTTTCAAGGTTTCAATGTCGTCTACTGACAAAACATTAGGTCCCACCGGGGTGATGGTGTCAAACGCCCGTCGTTGGTTGGCTCCACCTCCGATGTGACGGAGCACTTCATGTGTACGGTCCAGACTGTCGGTGAAGTGTAATATCTTGGTATTAGGGTGCTGGTGGGTATATATATCCACTAACTTGGAGATATTCTCCTGGTGTAGGGCTGGCGAGCTTGCCGGTAGGCTGTCAAAGGCCGGCTGCCATCGTGTTCGGAAGAACAGCGAGCGGTTGCTCTCACCTGCACTCGATTGCCCTAGGGACGTCACTTGTAGACCCTTAAAGGTCAATAATTCCTGACCCATATCAGAAGTGATGAGAAGATCACTCGTGGCGGTGCGGGGACCAGTGGGAGTGGTATAGGTACGAGTGGTTACCCGTTGAGTGTCAGTTGCATCCTTGACCGCAAACATGGCTGGATGAACTCGAACAGACCGCACGAATGTAGGCACCGATGCTTCATCGAGGGGCCGTTGCAATGTTGCTTCCATCGCCGGGAAGATCGTGTGAAAGGAGGCGTCAAGCAAGGTAGGATGTGCTACAGTGACACCAGCCGCTTGAGTGGCATATTGTAACGGCTCAAATGCCAGCGTTCCGACTGCAAATCCGGGCCCCGATTCAATAAGACCGGAAAGAAGCTGAAATGAATGGCCGTACGCCAATCCAAACTCCGTCAGATGACGGTAGTATGTACTAGCTGGAGCGCTGCTAGTGCTCTTGCTTAGGAGCTGCTGAACACTATCGTAGGCATTCGATTCCTGTGGCTCGTCGCCAAAGCAGACCTGGCCAGTGCAGTGCTCAACGCACCCTTGCTGGGCCTGATACGAGAAGATTGTGAATTCGTACCACGTCGCAGAGCGGGATTTTGCTGAGGTCATAGGGGCATGCAGCTCTGCAAGAACCTCCGTTCCCATATCACTGTCGTCCAGAACTAGGGCGGATCTAATGGTGATGTTGCGGAGTAGGACACTACTGTCAGGGGTAGCACCGATGTCAGCCGCATTGCACATGGCTTCAATCGCCATACTGATATAACCAGCCGCGGGAAAGAGAATCTTCCCATCCACGACATGGTCAGCTAGCCAGGGCAGATCCTTAATGCGAAGGTAATTGCGCCAAATTGGCCGCTGCTCCACACAGCCCGGCAGCTTAGCGCCCAGCAAGGTATGTCGGTGAGGCCGCAGCCGGTGCTCGCGGATCAGCCGGGTTTCCGCCCAGTAACGCTCATGGTCCCAAGCATATGTGGGAATATCCTCCAGGAATTTGCCGCTTGGTGCCTGGCAGGGGATATCTGGCTCAACAAGGAAGTGGTCGCTGTTGACCGCATCCAGATCCACTGGATATCCGTGCTGGAAGAGCTGTCCGGCCAACGTCAACAGGGCGTCAAAGTCCGCCGTCTGACGTGCCAACGATCCCAGGTAAGGTAGGTCCATATTAAGAGATTTCATGATCTGTCGACAAGGGCCGCGCAATGCTGGATGTGGACCGATCTCCACCAAGATATCCACATTTTGCTCCTCTTCTTCATCTATCAGAATGCCCACTAGAGCATCCCAGAAACGAACACAGCCGGTCATGTTCGCAGCCCAGTATTCAGGGCCCATCCGGCTAGGATCTGCGAGACGCCCGGTGACACTGGAGAACATCCGTGCCTTTGAGTCACTGGCGTTGAAGCCCGAACAGTTCTTAAGCGCTTCAGTATAAGCCGGTGCTAGAGGGTACATATGGTGGGAATGGAAAGCCTGGGCCACCTGGAGCCGCCGCGTGAATACCCTTTGCTCTTCTAGCTGAGTCTGTAGCGCGTCGATGGCTGACGCATCCCCAGAAAGGGTGACACTAGACGGACTGTTGACCGCTGCAAGGCTGATCTGGCCTTCATATGCCTTCAGCTCCTTGGTCAATTCCGTTGGTCCACGCCCCACAGCCAACATGGCCCCATGAATACTTGCACATCCTCTTCCTCCACTGGACATATGCAAACCTCGGTAGTAGGCGGCATACAGTGCGTTGTCAAATGATAAGATACCCGTTGCATATGCACTACCAATTTCACCCGACGAGTGACCAACAGCGGAGGTCGGCTCAATCCCCCAACTGCGCAGGAGGTCAACGATAGCCAACTGGAGTGCCGTGCAGATGGGCTGCGAAAGACGGGTCTCAGTCAATCGCGAATGCTCCTCAGTGCGAGAAAGCTCTTCAATAATTGACCATCCTGGCCCATCTGGCAAAGCGTGCAGTATTCTATCACAGCGCTGCAATGTCTGCCGGAACAAGGGCGAGTGTTGAATCAGCTGGCGTCCCATCGCAAACCACTGTGCACCCTGTCCTGTAAAGACGAATCCCAATCTCGGGCGAGGTGTCTCAGCAGCCTTTGTCCATGGTGCCGGGCCTTTAAGCTGCTCAGAGATTGCTGTCCAAGACTTGGCTACAACAAACGAGCGGTATGCGTGGAGCGAGCGGCGCGAAGAGAGGGTACGTGCCAGGTCCGCTACATTACCCGCTTGCTCCTTCACGTAGCTGCCCAACTTGTCGGCCCAGATGCTGCCTGCCTTCTCCGTGTGTGAAGTGAGGGGGATTAAAAATGGGCGGTTTTTGACGGCCGACAGAAAGGTATCCGGGAGAACTGGGGGAGGGGTCAGCATCGGCATGGGCTGATAAGCTTCCAGAATAACGTGAGCATTCGCTCCTCCATAGCCAAAGGAATTAACACTAGCACGCCGTGTGCCATCTGGGCAGTTGGGAAAGTCGGTAGCTTCCGTGGGCACCTGAACCTTCCACTCCTCGAACTTTATCTCGGGGTTTGGGTACTTGAAGAGCATATTGGGGGGTATTATTCCGTGTTTCAACGCCATGGCGGATTTGATGATACCCGCAAGGCCTGACGCTCCCTCGGTGTGTCCGATATTTGTTTTTACAGAGCCTACCAACAGTGAATCTTTGCGATGCACGGGGCTAAAGACAGCTTGCACAGCTCTCATTTCGGCTGGGTCACCACGAGCAGTGCCAGTGCCATGAGCTTCAACATACGGAGTATGCGCTGGGTCGAGGCCGGCTTTCGCGTACGTGGCTCGGATCAGGGCCTCCTGGCTAGTGCTCGAAGGAAGTGTAATACCAGACTTAGTACCATCATGGTTGATGGACGACGCACGCACCACGGCATGGATGCGATCACCATTCAGCTCTGCCTGGCTTTGACGCTTGAGTACAACGGCGCAGATACCTTCACCGCGAACATATCCGTGGCCGCGGGCATCAAAAGCACGACACCGTCCTTCTGGTGACAACATGCCAAGGTCAGTCATTGTTATAAAGATATTTGGGTCGAAGTGTAACGCAGATCCAGCGATGATCGATATATCACTCTCGCCATTGCGTATGGTCTCTGCACCGAGGTGGAACGACACTAGAGAGGAGGAGCACGCTGTGTCGATGGTGACGCTCGGTCCCTGGAGGTTAAAGAGGTAGGAGATGCGGTTGGCGAGGATTGCATTGCCCGTCCCAGTCACGGTGTACTTTGGATAGTATTCCAGGTCCTTCGTGGTCATGGCATTGTAGTCATTGGTGAATGAGCCGCAGAAGACTGAGGTACGGGTGCCCCAGATATCCTCCAGTGGGATTCTGGCATCCTCCAATGCTTCGTAGATGACTTCGAGCAGCAGTCTTTGCTGTGGGTCCATTGCCTCGGCCTCCTTGGGCGAGATCCGAAAAAAGCTGCGGTCGAACATCCCGATGTCCTGGTCGAGGAAATACCCATACTTGCAATTGGTCTGTGGAAATGTGTCAGCGTCATGCACAATAGGAAAGGGGTACACAGAAGAGTGGCAGATCTTATGGCGTGATTCTTACAGTGCCCTTGTGAGTGCCATCCGGATGGTAGAATGTATTGATGTTGAATCGATCGGAGGGGATCTCCTTGCGCATATCGACTTGCGCATTGATATTGTCCCACAGCTTACTTGGGCGGTCCGCTCCAGCAACACGACAGCTGTACCCAACCATGACGGCTGGGTCAGGTCCGTTCATAGACGAAGTAGGACTGGGCCAGGAAGAGGTACGTGGAGGAGACGCACTCTTCGGTGAGTTCGTCCCTGAGGAGTGCAAACTACCCGAGTGGACTGAAGCAGACATTGCGGTACGTGGTGGAACGTGTGGTAATTGGGACTAGGTGATGTTGACTTTTAATCTAGCTTTTGAAGTTGGCCAAGGACGGCTGGAGGGTTATATCCCGGTCTTTAAGAGTGCGGTCACAGTGGTGAGGCTGTGCTGCTTGGAAATACGAACGACACCCTACGATTTCAGTCAAATATAAGGATTTCTCTTGGGCGCCTCTGATCAACTGCATGGTGGAGCTTGATTGTCGACGCCTGTTTCTGATTAGGTCGTTCTCGGTTTCTCTATGATCCGTGGAAGTCAGCGAATAGTCCCTACTGCCTATCCCAGATGACGACATCTCATTGGATGGGCAAAACATCCCGATATCTCAACCTGTCAGCAGCGTCCCCTGTTCATATGGTAACATTCGCGGTGGGTTGGATAGAGGTGCAATGCAACTCCGTGATGTCAGCTCTCAACCTTCCCAACTAGGATTTCCAACGGAATAACCCCAGCACTCGAGTGGACCATGAAGTTCTAGAATCCGTCGCAGTGGTCAGTTGTCGGGAAAGTGAGGATATCCATGAGCTAGCCTATGTCATAACAGAAGTCTCGCGGAGAACGCGTGGGACCGTAACAGAGATTACACGGAACCCTCCGATGCATCTTAGAACGTGTGGGATGAACGGATTCTCACGGCGCTGCTCAAACCACGGTCCACTCGAGATTAATGTCAGTGGGTCACCGCAGACTCAAGTAGTATCCCAACCCCTTGCTTTCATGCACAATGTTACAGTTACAGCATGAGGGTGAGCTCCCACACCTCGCATCCGTGGACGACTGTAGTCAGTGTATGACGCACTATTCAGTGGGTGGTGTGAGTTTCACGGTGATGATGAATTCCTCTCTTTTGGTTTTACCGGTCCAGTGTGATGAGTGCGTCTCTCGTTGCTTGGGGCGGGCGACGAGTGCCCCAGGGAATAGTTATCCATTACCTTAGGCAGTACAGCTCATCAGCCACTGGCTCTTTTGTAAGAACATGCATGGCTGACTGTTAGATGGAACAGTGACTTGTCGTGGGCGTATTTCTAACCAAACTTTACTTTGACATTCACTAGCTTCAATTATCTCTAACCTGGTTCAACCCAAATCGTCCCAAAGGGACAGACCACCACTTGAACAGACTCATATTACGCGCACCTATCCATTGGTCCCGCATCCACACCTGGTGTGCGGACAGATTCACTACGAGCTGACTTGACCCCATGCACAATAGTCCACACGAAACATGTAGAAACTGAAAGCAGTAAACAATTCTCCATCCTCAGAAAGCTTTGACCCCTGGGGCACCCATACCGCGCGCCCCGGCCAGGACAATGGCACCTGCTGAAAGGACGATTCCGCTAAAATTGATCATATCCCCGTAAGCTCCATGATCGTGCGAGATAAGAGCGCCCGCGATAGGGCTTCCAGTCAGCCCACTACAGACGTCTTGTCAGCCCAGCTTACTGAATAAGAATGGGTTCCAGGCCACGTACGCAAATGAACAAGCAGCCATCATAGCGCCGATCCGGAGACCAAGGATCCGCGTGTCGGCCGTGATCTGTGACACGCATGCGGCCTGAAGGGAAATAAGTCCCCCAGAAAAGATTCCGTAAAGTACTGAAAATGCAATTATCGAGCCCTTCCCAGTGATGGCATGCAGACAGAAGACCAGCACGGCGCAGACGGCGGAACAGCCGAAGGTGACGTTAAGCCTGTACAGTACATGCAGGGATGAATCCCGTCAGCCAACGCCCCTGAAACAATATCCAGGATACTCTTTCTATTGAGGCATACATACCGTCCACAAAGGTCGGCCACGTAACCAGAAGCGATGCGTCCCACGAAAGAACCGGCGTTCAGGTAAGAGACAAGATTATTCGCCTCATCCGCATCCATTCCGTTCGAGCTGCCGTACGTGGGTAGATAGAAGAATGGGATGAACATGCCCCACTGAACTAAGAACATGCCAATGACTAACGCAATGTACAGGAGATCCTTAAAAAGACTGTGGATCACGTTCGGAGGACGACGGTCCTGGTCATCCATCCGTTCCCTCACGATTCGGGGCCGGGAAACAACCAGGAAGGCACTGGGTGCCAGCAAAGCGAGGCAAAGAAAACCAGCCGTCCGCATGGCCCAGGGAAATCCAATCTGCCTGATCAGTCGCTCAAGCATCAGCGGCCAGCAAATGCCGCCCAGGGAGGATCCCGACACGACGATCCCCAGAGCAAATCCGCGCGAGTGGCCATACCACTGAGAGACGGCGGTGATGGTGGGAAAGAATCTGGCACCGATTAGAACACGCTACAACGGGCCAGCGCAAAGGGGATTTACGCACAGCATGGCTGTTCCGAGACCCAACAGTATCCCTTGTGCCAGAATTAGCTGGTAATACTGGGACGATACGCTGGCGAACATGATAGCTAAAACGTATAGGACAGCACCAGGGGCAAAAATGCGCGTGGCCCCCCAAGTATCGTACAGGGGCCCAACTACCAGTCCGCTGATCGACAGAATGAAGAGCTAGATTTGAGTATCAGTGATCGCTGTTCGTTCTCTGCAAGCAAGAGGGGGCATCCCGACCTGTAGGGCACCAATCCAAGCAATTTTACTGTTTGACATGCCTGCCAGGAGTACCTCATGGTAATAGAATTGAAACGTTCCCCATGCATTCATGAAACCTGTTCGGCCGGCACACCGTAAGTGTCCATTCAATTCTTAGCGGAGAAGGGAAGACAGCAGACCATAGGTGCAGAAGTACGTGAGGAATCCCCCAACCACCACCAACGGCGGCCGCCATCTTGGATAGACATCTTCTGCCACGCTCGTAGCTGGGGTTGGAGATTGAGCCTTCTCCTCATTCGACGGAGGTCGTGTCTCCCGTATTGAGAGTGTTCCGGTGAGTGTTCCCGTCATTTGGCGATGTGCGACTATCCAGAACCACCGAATCTAGCTGTCAATGTGACGCAGATATGGCTGACGATCTCTGCTATTTTATATATAGTTCACGTGAAAGAGATCTAGATCGACATGGTCATCGCCTGTTGGGGCAGAACTGCTGTTGCCTTGGGGAGAGATCTATGAGGGTTGCATTGGGTCAATGCAACCCTTCCCAGAGGCGACCCAATACAACCCTTCCCAGAGGACCTTCCAGTCCTCCGCGAAGAGCAATCATTACTTTCTTGTTCGAACCAGTGGTGGGAGGGGTGGAAACGGTTCTCACGGTCACTGTTCTCATGGCAAATACGAATTGCTTTGAGGATGAACAGCCCATTATCCCTGTTCTTCCCTCCCTTCCACATGTTATGATTTCACTTTCACCCCGTTCTGCTGTACACCGACAAGTCCTGTTCTTCACCTCGCTTCACTATTTATATCAGCGAAAATGCTGGAGGCTCTCCTTTACAAATCCTTCCCGCTGAGGTTTATCTTTGCATGGCTCGGGATCTTGGGACTAGCCCTGCTGCTTTTCTCTTCTCGTCGTACAAGCCCCAAATTGCCTCCCCGCGCCAATGAAGGCACATCTTTCTTCAGTGATATCTTAGGATTTCTAGCAAGCCCAGTTCAGTTCGTCGAGCTAGCCACGGGGAAATACGGGTCCATCTTTCGGATTGATTGCCTCGTGAAGCAGATCTTTTATCTTCGAGGTCAGAAATGGAACCGGTTTTTCCTGGAAATGAAGGAGGACACTTGGTCATTCTCTGGCGGCATAGTAAGCCCTTCATTCTCATTCCCAGCTCGTCTCCCTCATGCTCATATTACTTCTGTAGGGTATGTTTCTCGACAAGGCCGCAAAACCAGGCTATTTCACCCATGGCCGCAATCTTCTTGGCTCCATCAACCGCGGCGTCAACCGAAGTGCCGCGCTGCAGAGCTATGGGAGACTGGCCGGCGAAGAAGCTCACAAGTCTCTACAGCACTGGTCACAGATGCCAGACGTAGAGATATTCGAGAGTATCTCCCGGTTTGTGCATCGAGTCATCGTCCGCTGCATGATGGGCGAAGATTTCTACGACCAACATGTGGATGAGCTATACGACCTCCTTCAACAGATGGAGTCACTAGTAGGCCATCCCTTTAATCTGCTCTTACCAGCCTGGGTTCCACACCTACCGGGGCGACAGTTAGCCAAAGCCCGCGATCGATTTGCTGAGATCTTTCGCGAACGCCTGGCGGCTCGCCAGCTGAAACCGGACGTTTGGCATGACTCGTTAGATTACATCAACTACACGCTAAACGATCCCCGAACTGCCCAGCTCGAAGATTATTACCCATCCCACCATGTGGTACTAATGTTTGCGGCACACACCAGCACCGTCGCCAGCATTGCCTGGACGATTGTCGAGGTAAGCCTTTCCACATGGCTGCTGCAGAAGTTGGACCTGACTTCTTCATGCAGTTGCTCCGCCATCCCATCTACCAAGAGGAAATTCGAGAGTCCCTGGCCACCACGTCCGACATTCACCAATGTGCACCACTGCTTGCTTGCCTTCGCGAAGAAGGTCGCCGATACTCAGGGGTGCACATGTTCCGTACGACTAAACGGCCCGTCAGCCTCGAAGGGAGCGACTATACGGTCCCGGAGAACTCGGTCGTTCTCATCTCTCCCTATCTAACACACCATGACCCAGCCATTTACCCGAATCCACACGAATATAAGCCACATCGATGGCTCCTTCCTGACGGCCGACTCGATCCCTGGAATGGCCCGAAGGAAGCAGCCTTCCTGCAGTTCGGCGCAGGAAACCATCGTTGCCCGGGTGAAAACTTTGCCGCCATCATGGCGCGCGAGTTTCTCGCAGCGCTCTTGATGAACTACGAAATGGAGTGGGGTAGTGACGGAGCACCCGCCGATTTCTCGCGACTTGATTTTACGAAGGTGGGAAGCCCTTGGCTGGAGGGAGATGCTACGGTGCGCATTCGGCCGCGTGAGCTTGGGGCTTGAAATGGCTGCCATGCTACGGTTGACTGGATATCAAGGGGCGGATTCTGAGTGTATGAATAGGCAAGACACTCAGTATATTAATTCTACCTGTAGAGCTATAAATTTAGGATAAGGAGACGGTTCAGTCTGAACTCATACTGCGACTTATACTACAAACCCTGGTTTCGTCTACGTTCACTCTGATGCCCAGCAAACAAATGGATATTGAAAAAGAAACCACTGATTTTATGCGTTCGACTTCAGTTGAGTTAATCATGTACATCTGCTTTCATTCATTTGGTCCATTCATTGGGTGTTGAGTCTCATCCATGCCCCATGGTTACTACTTCTCTAGCGTACATGAAGACTGTTGCTATTCACACATATTGCAACGCTTCCATTGTCCGTGCGCTACTACCCACCGAAATTGGAGGCAGACTTACAAAATGAGCAAATGTGAAATAAACAACTAGAACAGGGGAAATAAATAAAAAAAAGAGAAGAAAAATAAAAAGAAAACACTAATAGGTCCGTGGATGTAACCAAAAAATAATACTTGACTCATGCAGTCCCCACCATGACCGTGGAAGTCAAGACGCAGTCTGTTACTACATCGTTGGCTATGGTGTCATTCACTCCCCGGCGCGGAGTAGCACGTCCATCAGGTTACTATCGATAGCCATGATATGGGCGAAATCGTGGGCCTGTAGATGATTCCAATTCGGACGGCTATCTCTAATACTAGTACTAACATAAGAACCACATCCCCGAAGGGATTATGCCATAATATTTTCACAAGCCCACCACATCAATCGTGATCCTTAAAACAAGAACGTGGACTCTCTCGTTAATCCCAAAGGCTCGCACCTGTTCTTTCCACTACTCGGTCTTTACTCTAGTGTAATCATCCCCCTCTATTCCCCCCTACTAGCCCCGGATCACAGCCAAAACCATGACGTCCGCAAACACCAAGCATGAAACGATCCAAGTCCTCATTGTAGGCGCCGGTATTGGCGGTCTCACCCTAGCCAACATCTGCAAGCGCCTCGGCCTCCGGTACCTCGTCCTGGAACGTAGTGCAGCAGTGACTCCTGTTGGGGCGGGGATCTCACTAGCACCCAACTGCCTACGTGTGTTGGATCAACTTGGTTTCCTACCAGAGATCGAGCGAGAGGGCCAACGACTGCGCAAGGTTCGTATCTTCCGCAACAGCTCGCAATGGAACATGCTGGATTTCGAATCCATTGAGAAGACCTTCGGCTACCCCGTGTACAAGATCGAGCGACACGCCTTTCATTTTGCGCTGTACCGCAGTGCCGGTGAAGAGCATGTTCTGCTTGGTGCCCAAGTGGTAGATGTCGTGGATGATGCAGAAAAGAAGCTCGTGACGGTCACGTTGGCAGATGGACGAGAAATCTCAGGGCAGATTGTCGTTGGAGCGGATGGCATTCGATCGGCCACACGCAGAGCACTCACGAAGAGAGGCGGCGAGGCAATAATAAAAAGCACAATTCAATTCACCGGAAGAACCCATATGAGTGGATACACGGCGCCATTAGAGCACTTGGGTTCGGAGGAGGAGGGTGTCGGGACGTGGATGCTATACGATAATAGTATCTTCACCACCTGGCCATGCAAGGACAAGCGGCAGTGGTTCATTGGCGTTAAGGTAAGGGGAAATAGAGACTTCCAAGAACCAGCGGGCAAGAGTTGAATTGAAGCTGACCAGTCTTTCGTTATAGCGAGCGGATCTAAGGGCCGAGGGCCGCTCAGTTTGGAAAAGTGTCGATACCGACACGATCAATGGAGTGTATGGTGACCATTATCATCCGTTTGGAGAGACGGGCCTGGTAGAAGACAGTAAGCCTGGCCCCTTTCTTCTCGCAGCGCATTCTGTTCCCTTCATTCATCTGTGGAGATTGGGTGATCTGATAACAGGGCTTGAAGTCGTCGGCCGTTCCGAACGAGTCACTGCCAGCGATGTTTTCGAAGAGACATCATTCCCAGCGATGGCAGTAGGACGAGTGGCCCTCATTGGAGACGGTAAGTGATTAGAGACCGCACAAAATAATAGTTGTGTGGAAGACACTACGCTCGGAAGAACTACCACTGACCTAGCGCAGCCGCGCACGCAATGACCTCCTTCTTTGGCCAGGGGGCTTGCCAGGCAATCGAGGATGCCGCGGAGCTGGGAAATACCCTTCATGAGTATTTTCAGGGCGAAAAAGTGGTCGATCTCTCGGAGGTGCTCGACAAATACCGTCAGCAGCGTGAAAGTCGCGCTAAAGATCTGGTCCATTTCTCCAACAATTTCGCGCTCTTTCACATGGGAAGAATCCTGCCCCTTTTCGGTACACTTCTGCGCCGCATGGCATATACGTATGCTCCGACGTGGTGCTGGACGTGGTCTTTGAGGTGGTTGTATGGTTATCAGCCATGCGTGAAAGCGTTGGACCGGGACCTGTCTTGAATCGGGTGCGCGAGGCTCAAGTCCTGTCGGCTGAAGGGATGGGAGGGTGGTTGAACTGCAATCTTCCAAATGCATAAGCCCTTTTGAAAGCTATCCCGCGAGTAGTAGAAGCTATCTACGCTTTAAGTGTCCCTGAACGTTGCTGTCAAGCACCTCCATGTACCTGGCATTTATCTATTCATCTATCATAGCCACCACCACGGATTACGCTGGTGATAAAGGTGAAATTCTCGGCATTCAATTTCAGCCATGGTCACAATCAACTAGTAGCACCCATTCAGGGTGTAATCGCAAATGTCGTCCTTCCGATTGCGTGCAGCTAAGGAGGCTCGTTAGATAATATGTATTCAATCTAGGAGCTCCATAACAAGCTCCTCTCAGATACATCCGGTAGACCATCCATTGCACCGAGCAAAGGTAACGTTGCAAGTGTAGGAATCACCGGGGGAAGGCGTGAGGAAGCAAACATCCCAGCCCCAGGCATCAGCAGTGCGAGTATGTGTGTCTTTCCCTCGCCATTGACAGTCGGCGAAACCGATCCTTGACGATTCGCCAGCGCCTGTCGGCCAGAAGCGTATCACTAGCAAACCATTGGTCGGGCTGAGCCGCCAGGTCTAGCAAGCGATCCAGTACCGGCGGGAGTATTCGGCCCCAGCCACGGCTTGCGCCCTTGCAGCTGAATCGAAACATGAATCAAGGTGGAGAGATTCTCTGCTGCACGATCGAGGCGGAGGATCCATGAATCATCTTTATCAATGGATGGGTATGTATGCATCTGTGTGAGGACCGGCAGGTCGTCGTTGACGATCTCGGAATGTATGAAATACCACACTATGAGTGATAGGGTCACCCATCCGACTACATGTAGCATTCCCCACTCGATCCGGGTTCAGTCGGATGCCGTTTACCTGCCGCAAATCCCAGGCGATTAAGGTGGATGTCTCCTTGATTAATCGCGTTGCGGTGCGATGGGCGTACATGGTACAGACAAAGACTTGCTCCACATTACCTTGAGAGGTGTCATGCCAGGCCAACAAGCTCAGTGGTTGCGTGGTCGGCAGGTCCGAGGCGTCGGTTATGATCTCATGCAGATACGGTGCGGCCCACTGCAATGAAACCGTGGGCATTAGTGTGATTCCGGCGGCTGATTATTCCAGCCAACCAGACACCACAAGTCCTCTCCTTTCGTTCAGTGGGCTTACTTCAACGTTGTCCGTGATCAAACCTTCCAATTTCCAAGTTATTCGCATTCGTCGGCCGAAGACTAGATGTCAACTGTAACATTAACTGTTGGGATACATATCTCTCCGTCGCCTGGCTAGCCAGCGCGCTATATCGTTTTTGGTCTAACGGTGAGTGCTTCGACAGTTACGTTGCCCGGTCGCGAAAGGGACGCTTGTATGTGCTCAATCCAGTGGTCCCTTCCTCTTGTCGAACCGGTGAAACGCTTTGCGGGTCTTGTTGGGATTGAACATCCAGGACGAGAGAGCGTTTGTTGGCCAGGCCTGCTTATAAGCTGCTGCCATCTCCATGTAGACTTTCGTCCTCGGGTCTGGACACCTCTATATGACGGTCTCCGACAAGATAGTTAGTTATCATAGACAGAATGGCTAATACTCTGCGTAGGGCAAATGCTCCAGCTTTTGCGTTCAAGGGACGCCCCTCCGCGGATCTAACACCCTTCCCTTCTTTTAACCGTACAGCTAGCCAGCCATCCATATACCATCAGACTTGGTTTACCCGGAACAGCTTCCTCCAATCACATCCGGTCGAACTGACTTCGATGCACCACATCCAAATTACCCACGTCCAAGCTCGAGCGTTCGCTACCCATGCATCACTCTTATCTCCTGCAGTTACATTCCCTAGTCACATTGCTCGCCTATGGCGGATAGTCTCATACATGCAACGCCGACGTCTCCGCAGATAATGGTGAGACACTCATACAGCCGAGCTCAGACACGCCAGCTGCCAAAACTACGAACCGTGCTAACGGTATGCCCCCACTTACTACATCTTGAATGAATCTTTTACTATTTGGTATGACCTACTTCGCGGGGAGAAGAGAGGGTTGGGTCGTCACAACAATTGTGAATACCACCATGCCACCTGTGCACCACAGCACGACATTTTGCCAGTCCACGGAGACTGTTTCGTAGATGCTACAACCGTCCACACTACGCTATGTAGCGGTACCGGGAACGAGCCATGGAGTTTCGCCTGGAGCAAGGTGCAAGCACTGCAACATTCACCCGGGGGATTGCTTGCTAATGGAACGGTTTCAAAGCTGAATTTCCTCTGCGAAGCAGGTTGTAACCTTGAACTTCACGAATCCTCCAGTACGGCAGGTAGGCCTTCAACTGAGTGCTCACAGATGGCTGTTTACGTGACGGCTAAACTTACCTCATTGGACTTCAGTCTCAGCAACAGCATCCTGTGTAGATGGCTCGAATTGGGCGCTCTGAGCTACAGCTCGAATGATGACATGTTTCACTTAGCATACTCTTTCCATACTAAGTTGGCAGATTTCAATCTGTTGGTAGTTTGACGGGTTTCATCATTCAACACTACCGAGGTAGGGTTTGGTTTTCAGTTCATTTCCTCCTAGCCTTAACATATGCAAGGGAGCAAGGGTTAAGATTAGCTAAGAGCCACCGTCCATACCAAAGTTGGTTGACGCCCAGGCTTTCAATCATAACGTGATTTTCACATATACTAGTAGCATTGCACAATACTCCAAACACGAGTCAGGACGAGATAGCATGAGACATCCCTTGCCAACATACCGTACTGATTTCCCAAAAACCGGGCAGAGGATTCTTCGTCCGTTCGAGCAAATACTTTTGTGAAACATCAAATCCACATTGGGTGCTATGATTGGCTGGCTTCCGTCCTCTGTATTCCACGTGAATCGGTCTCCTACAAAAAATCCAAAGAAGGCCGAACAGAACCGGCACTGATCCTAGGGGACTGAACTGCCTTCATAAGGAGCTTCATTCTTCCGGGAAAATCGACAGTGCCTGGTTAATTCTGAAATTCTGTAGAACTAACAAAAAGCTTCTCGCTTGTTCTAGAATCTGATCGGCGAAGAGCTAATTGCGACTATCAACAAACCGCCCCCCTCCCCACAATTCGAAAAGCAATCCTCACTCAGAAACTTGTCATTGCTCACAGGCCAATGTCTCAACTAGTCCCATCCCATGCCAAAGTCAACACCTTAAAGTCACGAGTCATCTAGAACATAGACCGATACATTGCCACCCTTCACAGGCTACTATCAAAGATATATCAAATAAATTGAAGGTATTCTATAATAGGGGAAGCCTGAATGTGAGTTTCAATACATCAGAAGCCGGGCTACCTCTCTATTCTCAGACTGTAGCGGAGCCTTTATTTCGTCCTTGCTGAACTTGGGCCATATCCGAAAATAGATTTTCTTTGCTGATGACTAATCTGCCAAACTTTGTTAATAAAGGCCACCAGTCGGGCTTACAGCTCGGCGTGGTCTGAAATAAACTCCGTGTGGTCTAGCACTAAACATGGAACAATACTTTTCTATTTTAACTATGTTAAGCTGTGCTAAGAATAATTTTAGATTATAATAAAATATATTAAGAATATATTAAACTATAATAAAATTTAAATCTTACTATCCTGTAATACTACTAGTCTTTTTTTAAACCATGTATATACTGAACATATACTATAATCTACTAATAAAATAACTCAATAAGAAATAGAAGATAAGATTATCCGCTAGTTAAATAATATAAATAATAAAATATATATTTTATATTTTTTTATATATATTCAGTATTAACTAAATACAGTAATTTAATAATATTATTATTAATACTAATAGTATTTCTAATCTTATATAAGAGTAAGAATCTAAATCTTAAATTAATTTTAATTTATTAGATTTTATTCTAATTTCTATCGGTTTAACTGAGATAAGTATATATATAACTTATATAAAATATATACTAAATATATATAAAATATAAAAAGAATAATGCAGTTATTGCACGTAATAATTTTTATATAATTAAAATATTTTATATTTAAAAATATTTTTTAATACCTGAATATCCTACTATAGATTTAAATAGTATTTTTTATTTTATTTATTTAACTAATCCTTATCTACCAGGACTAGAATTAAAGAATCTTAATAAAATTTTAATAAATAATCTTTTTATACAGTAAATATTAAATATAAGTATATACTCTCTTATATAGTATATATACTAAATATATAGATTTAATATATAATATATTATATAGATAGAGCTAAGATTATTAACATAAATTTACTTTATAAGATTAGTAATAATAATAAATATAAAATCTAGTATAAATCTTATATATATAATAAAATAAAATATTATATTTATACTAAATATCTTATATTTAATATTTTAGAATATAATAATATATAAGAAAATCTTAATTTTTTTATTTAATTATTTTCTTTAGGTAGCTGTAGATTTCATATTAATTAAATTAATAATTTAATTAAATAAAAAATTAAATCTTTATATTTAATATTTTTTTATCTTTAAAATAAGAAATTATAAAAATATTATAAATTTTAAAATACTAGAATAAGTACATGCATAATATAAAATCTAATTATATTTAAAAAAAACAGGATATATATTTTATATATTAATATTATATATATTATATTTACTAATAATATAGAGTACATATTTTTAGATTATTTTAAAAATTTAGATATAGAGGTCTAGTATTATATATTGAATATTTAATACTTTATTTAAATAAATAAAAGTTATTTATAAAATTTTATTTAATATAGTTTCCGCAATATTAATACTATATATTTTTTTATTATTTAACTAATAGCTCATCACAGATTCTATAGTAGAATTATATATATATTTAATATAAGAATAATCTTAACTTAGTATAGATTAAAATTATTCTAGAAATACTAGTAAACTTAAATAAAAACTATATAAAATTTAATTTAATTTATATTTTCTATTAAATTAGATTGATTTTTTTTAATTCTAATTTATTAATAAAAATATTTATATTATTCTTTACCTCCAACACAGCTGCTAAAGGATATTGTAGATTAAATTAGTAAAATTATTAAAAAATATAAATTATTCAGATTTAATTATATATATATTTGTCACGGTGCAACCTCCCAAGCCGGGAAGAGAGGGATACTGCTGAGACTCACCGCCCAGCACGTGACCCCAGACACGGTTAAAAGCCACCTGCCCCCTGTGTGACGGGCTAAGAAGCCGGGTGGACTACGTGAAGTACGATAGTCTGTAAAGAAATTAAATTCACTAGAGAAAGAACTATCTAATCTATAAATAAATTAGGTTTACTTATAGATAACTCTTTTTAAGAGATTTCTTTATAATATTAGTAAGTTTCTTTACTACTTTAGAGATTCTTATTTTTTCTAGAGATTTTTATTCTTTTTATAGGTGTTGTCGAATTAAGTCTAGGACTAGATAGGTCAGAATATAGATGTTCCGATTCCGGATGGCTGACAGGGCCTAGCCCTTTTCACCCTGAACCCCGTTCGTAGCTTCGAGCTACGTCTTGTCTATCAACCTGTATATAGCTTGACTAGTAGCCAGCTCACCACCCAGTTAGAATCCTAGTCGTTATTGTCATCCAGATCCCGCTCGCCCGCCAGAACCCGCTATCCTACCACCCCTGCCTGCCCGCACCTTGACAATATTATATATATATATAATCTATATCTTAGAATATATTAAATATATAAAATAATTTATATTATTACTATATTTTATAATAATTTATAATCAGATTAATTTTTTTATATTAGTAATATTATATTAAGATTTCTAAATTAAAGATTAAGTTATAGTTTTAATTTAAAAATAAAGATTATTTACTTACTTGCTTGGAACAAATCTATAAAATAAAATAAAATAATTATAATATATTTTTAATATATTTCTAATATATACTAGATATATAAAAAGAGTATTGTTTTAAT